GGGGACTTCAACCGCACGGAGACGGAAACATTAAAGGGGTAGGGAAACGAAATTCCAGCGCTCATTTTCTAGCTTGAATGTGTTACATGTTGCACCCTAACCTAAAAAAACACCAGTCTTCCGTTGAAAGGCACAAGAAAACTAATTTTAAAGCTAAAATAAACAATCTCTCAATGTGCACCTGGTGGATGCATGTGGAGCCTATTTGGGAGGTAATCTAGCAACGTTGGGCAACTTGCTACGTAGTCGTGACGTAGCACATTCCTTCGGAGCAGCGCCGCTCTTTGGAATTTCAACATTTTCCTTCTTATCTTTCCTCCCAGCTCAAGTCACAAACTCGCGCAATGTACCAAACGGTCCAAGAAGACGGAAAGGAAAGACACCCCTCTTTTTTGGACCCTCGTTCGTGCAACCGGACCACAGCCATTCTCCCCCAAGAAGATTAGTCCGTCGCTCAAAACTCAAACAAAAGTTGCTTTCCCCACCCCGTTCAGCCCTAAGCTGACAGTGTTGAGGAAGCAACGTGCTCCTCGGGCCAGCCGCACGCTCGTCACCCCACGGGTACTTCGAACGGCTCGGTTCTACCACAACGCTGAAAAAGGCCACCAAGGGCAAAGCTCATAACCACCTCAGCCTTGCTACATCACGAATACGAGCAATCTTTTCTTTCCGTTTTTGTTCGCGCCAGATATCCCATGACGCATCGCGCTCTCCGTTCGCTTCTCTTCGAGAGCTTGCCACCGTTTGGAAGGGAAAATACAGGGAGTCACAAAAGAAAATTTACACGGTCTTTTTTACCGCAAAAATAATGTACCTTTGTAATAGGAATATCCAAACCAACGTTACTAGAACACTCAGTTGGGAAACTCACCGTTGAAACCTGGGCTGCTGGCGTCCACCGAGACCGAGCTAAATACGATAACAGCGCCACGCTTTAGCGACGAGTTGAAACATAAAAGTTGCCTTATATGGCTACTGCTAGAGTCACTGAATATCCCAGAGTACCGAAACTCCCAAGCTTGAGGTGCGAAGATGGCGGCTGAAATTTTTATTCTTTACTTGTGGCCGCTTTTTGGCTAAAAATGCCATGGACGAGCTGAGCTCATCCAGTGGTTTTATGGTTAGCCCTCAATTCCACGGACGAGCTAGGCTCGTCCGAGTAGTTTTGCGGCGCTGATCATAGATGGCAGCATTCGTTTTAGTTGGCGCATTTTATTTTCGCCGCCGCTGATTTTTGCGTAAAAAGTTTTTTTTTAAAATTCTATCTGTATTACTAGAGGAAATAAAACTTATAAATAAAAAAATATATGGCACTTTTAGGCAGGCACGTAGCCAGGAGTTTGGTTTGGGGGGGGGGGGGGGGGGGGGGGGAGCGCCCATGACAAAATGCTGTATGAGGGGGGGAGGAGGAGGAGAGGAGGCCCCAGGCAAAATGAAAGATTTTTTTTGGGGGGGGGGAGGGGGGGGGGGGGGCCATGGGCGCCCCCCCCCCCCCCCCCCCCGGCTACATGCCTGCTTTTAGGTTACTTACCGAAAAAAGGGCATTTTACGGGGTTAAGCTTTCAAAGCATGTTTTTGCATGAAAACAAATAAAAAACATTTTTTGTAAGAAATTTTATTGGAGATTAGTACAGAACGATAGGATTGTGATGTTTTCTAAAATCTTTAGTTTACAAGGTTTTGCGGCACAATTATTGTTGTTTTTACACAACCATGTCTCACCGGTGATTTCAGGTAGCGCGTCCAGACCTGGGCGCGTCCTAATTTTGCAAGTGATTCACGGCGCGTACGCCGTCCGTGAATGAAAGTGAAAATAGAAAATAGCTTCGGTAGTATCGAATGCGATACTACCGAAGCGGCCGTGCAGTTCCCCGAGTGACCGCTGCGGGAAAAATGGCGGCGTTGCGATCGCCATTAGCTCGGTTCTCGAGTACGGATCGGCGCCACTTTTTTAGGGCAGGCTCTATTAGCGCCGAGATGTTTCGGTGGCGCCTCTTACGGTTTCCCTCCGTGACGTCACGACTGAGATTTGCCTCGCCGTGACGTCACCAGTTGTTATTCTGGCTACTTACCATCGGGGGCGACGACGAGTTCGATGGTGGTGTTTAAAAAGCACAGTAGAAGCTAGGAGTCATCGCAATCCGAAACTAACACCGTCAAAGATGACAATCTGACAGCGCTCATATGCCCGTGGTTTGGCCAATCGTGGAAAGCTGACCACAGCGACGCTTTTGGCCGCGCACATCGTAACGTTGTCCAAACACTCGATTTCATCCGGTATTTGAAATGTGTAGTATTGAAATATTTTACGGCGGAGCTGTTAATGACTAGTTTCCCCAGGATCGTGTCTAGGGTGACCACCCGTCCCTCGACTCGCGGGACTGTCCCGCATTGAGGGCTCGTGTCCCCCGTCCCGCGAGGAATTCCCAAATCTTAAAAATGTCCCGCATTTCACGCTGTCGTAAAATTCGCTCTGCAACTCATGGTGCTGCCCAACAACGGGGCACGGGGAAGCGCGGGGGTCGCTGGGAATCGTATGAATCGCAATGGTACGCCATTTTCTATCCAAGCATAGCGGGAAGCGGCCGTCGTTCTTGCAGGAGAACCGACGCGCATGCGCCGTTGTGCCTCTCCCCTTGGTCGCAAAATATTGTGAGAGAAAAATTGCTCGCCAAAATTTTAAATATAAAGTGCTGTAATTATTTTCATATCGCCGTGTCAATGCAAAAGTGTTGCTGAATGTTTTTTTTAGTGAAGGCAAAAACCCTGCAACTCACAGCGGTCGAAAAAGAAAATAATGTTAAAAATGTGCGTAGGACCGTGCTGAATACCCGGAAGAGATTTACTGCTTCTTAATTTGATTTGATGCACTGAGTTCTGCTGCAGTTGATTCTGGTACTATCAACTTCGACACATTTAATAACATAAAGGTATATCCCTGAGAGTGAAAATTATTTTAGATTAATTATTGCAATGCAATTTGCGGGTGTATAAACAGCACAAGATATTAAATGTGTTAACAGAGCCTCGGTTCCTGTTGTGTGTCTTCGTAAATTCCTCCGCCCACCTCCAGCCTCCCCCCCCGGTCCCGTGTGTCCCGCATTTCGCTAGCAGAAAGGTGGTCACCCTAATCGTGTCTCCCACAAAGAAATGAAGACACCGAACTCTGGATACCTACCGCCATCCGTAATCGATGGCGGCAAGCCACGTATCTGGTTGCCGCCGTCGCTCATAGATGGCGGCAGCTTCCTACTCTGGCTTCACCTCAAGCACACCAGCTCAATGTGGAGGGAGCCAGTCACTCGTCTTGGGACAAAGTTTAAGATCTTCAGCCTGGCCACGTACTGAACCCCAAACAGAAAAGGAGTGGATGAGCACAGTGCGGGAAAAAGTGAAGAGGGTTGAGAGGGACCGTTGGATGATCGGCATGCTACAACACCCTTTCATGCACATGTGCGCGTCTCTGAAGACGAAGCAAGTGCGATAGCAGCGTGACTGAAACGGTATGCAGTGCATGTGGAGCGGGAGCCTTCCTACACCGTGGGGGCGGGCGAAGAGACAATCGACCACTTTCTGCTTGCTTGCAGGGCACTATACCCAACGCCTATCATGGGTGCCCGTTTGGAGCAGGCACTTGGTTTCACCAACGAACACACCCATGTAGTATGCTCCAAGCGGTGGCTCGAGGCATGTTGGCAGACTCGTCTGAAAAATCGGGGGCGTGACCAAGGTGACCAAGATGGCCAATAGTCGCTGCCTTACTTTTGGCTGGAGGGGCTAACACTCGCTTAAAACGACGGTGTCATGTGAACTGATTAACTTTGACTGAGCGAAAGTGACGGTTGGCGAACTTTGAACACACGTGCTAACCATTTCTCTTTCGTTGCTGTCTTTTTGCGTGTTTCTTTCTTGCTTCTGTTGGCGTGTCTTACAAGACTCTCGATACAAAGAGATTGCGCCGCAAACAGACATGCATGAATACATACGGCTTGCCCATAGAGTTATTTATTGTAATAACTCTATGGGCTTGCCGACTTGCGGCCGGCCATTACTTTCCATAGTACAGCTACGCTGATCTTCCTTCTTCACCAGTGAAAAGGCTGAACGTTTTTTTGGATTGAAATTAATAGGCATTCGGAAGGAGATTTTTGAAATATTTTTAAATCTGAAAAATTCGTTATAATTACTTTTAGAACAACGAGATTTGACTGTACTCTGGCTGCAGTAAAACCGTAAAACCTTGACAAATGCAATAGAGCGCACTCTAACCGAAACCGAAAATACTTGAACACTCACTATCATCATCATTCAAAGGTGCGCAGGCGCAGTACGGAAACCGATTAGCGAGGGAGAAGCAGGGAGAAGACCACTCCGAGACCCCGTGCAACAACAACCCGGGGCAACCAGGGCGGCTCTCAGTCGAACAAAGCGGGCGTCGGCATTTACCGATAGCCTCAGTTGAACGGCGATTGCAGCTGTGTCAGACGTGAACACGTTTCACCAAGGACGAACAGGATCGCAGCCTGTCGTTCTCAAAAATTTCCGATCCGATGGAGGAACTACAGTGTTCCGTGCTGGACGGTCAAGATTCCGGTGAGGGTGCACGAGCGTTCGAACACGTAGTGACGTCCATGGCGTCTCGCGAGCGTGCCTGAGCGATAATTGCTTGTTACGCTTGTGCCAGATTTTTTTTCCCTCGTTTTTTGTCTTTCTAGTCCGCGAAAGCAAAGGCAAAATACACCATGTTGTAGTCGGCGTCTGCAATGGATTCCTCCTACAGACTACTGATATTCTATCGCAGGCTGGTTTGGTTGGGTTGGGGTAGAGCCGCAAAAAGTCGGCGTGAGTGCAGGATCCGGTGCGTGCAGGTGCGGGCAAGCACCTGCTTCGGGCACTTGGGGTGACCCAAGTGAGGATGTTGCGCACTGTAGGCACTGCTACTTTAAGCGCAGTTTTACAGTTCAAACGACTCCACCGCGTCTTTCTGTTCTGTCGTGCGGATGCGTATTTTTTTTCGACGGCTGCCCGACGCCCTCCACTGGGGTCATAAAAATTAGACGGACGTTGGCGGCTACTGGGAGCATTGCTAATAGTAAAAACACTCGGAGATTGGGACCTGCGTGTTTTTACTATGTACCACCACCACCAGCTCGTTTGCACCCCAGCCTTCTGTTCGGGAGGCACTCATTTGATCGAATGACGTTTTAGCGAACGCCCACGTTTCATCGAATGACACTTTAGCGAATAGTCGGACGCCGCGAAGCGGCGTTTTCGGGTGGGCCAAGTGAGTTCATATTTTTGTAATGAGCCGCCGCAGACTGTCGCCGCGAAGCGGCTTAAAGCGCAGCGCGACGGATGGGTTAACGCGCGCCCCCGTTATTCGCTGAAACGACCATTCGCTCAAATGTCGCCGTTCGCTAAAATGTCATTCGCTCTTGTGATATGAACCCCTTCTGTTCATACTTGCTCGTTTGCGCGCCTTTTAACGTTCACTTAAACGTGAGAAAGGAAACAGGCTGCCGAGCTTGTCAGTTACATTGTACGGCTTCAAATTGACCTGTTCACTGTGAAGTTTTGATCACGTGATAAAAGCGTAACCTTTATGCACGTATACCAATTGCAGACCATAGAAGACAGTATTGTAAACGCTGCTGATCTGCCGAAAATGTTCCCCATCATGGTGGGAAACTTGCGTCAATCTGGCCACGTGATAACGCACCCACCCATATTCACGCACAGAGGGGGTAGGTCAGGTGATAAAAGGGAGACGGTTGATTGGTTCGGCAGTCGCTTAGCCCCCACAGCACTGTCAGCTCAGGAATAAACGAAGATTAGGCCCTTGTAAAGTACCAGCCAATGGACTTTATCCACATAAAGATGGCACCAAGCGACGGATGCATGGGATCGAATGAATTTATGGGTGCGTACGGCGGAGCCCTTTTAGTTGACAGCGGTTTACACCACCCACTAGCTCTGTGGTGGCGAGCCCCCCCCCCCCCCCCCATTATGTGCCAGCAGTCTGTTCTCCTTTCACTCCAACTTTTAATTGGAGGAAGTTGGGGCGAAACGATTCTTGCGACTCATTTCGCCATTGTTTCCAGCACCCTTGCACCTTTCCTGCAAGCAGAATGGTAATTCTGCGATTGAAGCAAGCAAGAATACTGAATCTCGGCCCGAATGCACCGGGGTTGCAAAAGAGCTCCCTAAAGTTCTTACTATCTAGCAGCACGAGCTGTCATTTGCAAAGAAACCGCATCGTACATAATAGCGTAGCACTCGTCCTAAGAAAAGCGGTAACACATGAAATGCAGAGGGAACGGGAGAGGTAGGGCATCTCCCCAGTGAGCTTCCGACACTTCAGTTTCAAGTCGTCGACCACAATTCATGTTTTTCCTACCATATGAGGAGTGCGCGCGCATGCGCAGAACTCTTCTCGGGAAAAGGTTCATTACCAAAAAGGTTCCGGAGCAGATCACGGTTGAAGCCCTACACGGGCAAAAGTCATAAGCCGCTTTAGGGCTAAGCCACTAAGTCAGTTGACAGCCCTCACTCGGATGTGACATGAACAGAACTGTCATTTGCTTTGGGGGGGTCAAACGGCATTAAAACAGATAAACTCGCAAGACACTCTCTATCGTCCCCAACAGTGAAAACGGGAGGGCTTGTCTTTCGAACGCCCGGCCTCCTGTGCACGCTCCGTGCCTTCCACTGTGCTTCGGCTTCACGCGCGTGCTCGAGACGTGTAAGCATTGTTGAAGGTCGGAAAATTGCACAGGAGGCGAAATGACCGCTACGTTCCTGCCTTGTCGTTTACTACAGCAGGCTGCAGCAACAAGGATGTCTCGCAAATAGCTGCATCCAAATGCCAAAAACAATTTGAAAATAAAAAGATAAAAATACAATATTAACAAAGACTGAAACAATTAAAATGAAGAGATTCTGTACTTCAGCACAACTTAAAACACAGTAAAAAAGAAAAAAAAAATTGAATCTTTTTTTGTAACTTGAGGCAAAATTATTCTTGGGGTAGGGGCATTTCTCCTATGCTGCAGTTTGAGGGCACTGCCAATACCACCAAGAAGGCAAAGTCCTGTGCATGACGTCGTCGTTACTGGGTCCCCGACCCGCCTTGGGCGGCAAACGCGCCAAAGCTTGACGAGAGTCGCCGCCAGGTGGCCCACGCATCCTTCTTGGCGTTGCATTCATGAGAACCGCAGGCCTTGTCTTCTAGGTGGTGTCGGCACTGCGGATCGGGCGTTTGCATTCACGCTGCGCAAAAATGTGCTCGACCATTCTTGCCACCGAGTGTACCGGGTCGGACGCTGGAGTGCTCGTCGCTCCCAACCTCCTCGGTGTTGTCGGCGTGTCGAGATGCGCTCCCCCAAATCAGACTCCTTTCTCCCCCCCAGCAGACCACATGATCCTGATCGAGATGGAACCGGCGGAAGACCTCGAGGCGAGCACCAGCGCAGAGAACACCGTCGCGGTGTCTCCCGTGCCAAACATCGTGAGGAACGGAGGTAACGCGGGTTGACTCTGTCCAATTGCAGATTGGGGCTTTTGTAAGAGTGAACAAGTCTATGGTCTGTTACGGGTTAAGAAAAGCAGGACGAGTCCCTTCCACAAAGCTATCTGTTCACCATGATTGGTGGGGTCTCCTCTCCAGCGTTCACTCTGCTGAAGTTGAAGGGGTGAGGGCCTTGCAGGAGGTGCTTGTCCCGCAATTCTTAACTTCCACCAGATTAAAGTAAACTTGATGAGTCACTGAACTCTGCCCCCAAAAAGATTTTTTTAACTGCCTGAATAGGACGCGTATCAATATCACTCGTATGGAAACCCGCGAGAGCAGTTACCGTTATGCAGGCGAGCAAGATTACTTTCTCGTTCCGGCAGTTTCAAGCTCAGAGACAAGAAATTTGAAGTCATCTTGCGTATGAGCAATGGCAACAGTGGTCACGTTACGATACGTAAAGCAATATTGCTCGCATGTACCGTAAAATACTGGGGGATCTGAAAACTGGGTTAATCCAGACATGGGTGCTTGTCCGGTCAAATTGGGTGCTTGACGTACAATTCGCAGAATTCCCAGGTATGGGAAATGCTAATAGTGGGCACTTGAACAAAGTGGGCGCTTCTGCGGTATTTCACGGCAAGTGCAATGGCAGTGTTTCATACTCATAAAACAATCCATAAAGCCATACTGCTCGCACGTGAAGCAATACGCAAATCAGTATTACTCGTACGTAAACGCAATGGCAACATTACTCGTAAGCAAGGCGCCGCATGAAAGTGACACGCAGAGCAGAACGGAGTGACCCTCACCGGCACATCTCGCTTGCCACCCGCAGGCATAGAGTGGGGCGACACAGACACCAAGGTCCTGCTAGACTACTACAAGCGCTACCTGCCCCAGATTGGGCCCTTCAAGACCTTCCGCTCCAAGCGTGAGATGTACAAGAAGATCGCCAAGGACATCCTCCGGCTGACCGGGCACACGCGCACGCCCGAGCAGTGCGAGAACCGCTACAAGACGGTGCTCAAGCGCCGCAAGGCCCCCGGCTGGCACCGGCGCAACATAGCAGTGAGCCCCCGCATCGCGCGCTACGAAGAGGAGCTGGCGCGGATACGGGCGCTGCGGGACTCCCTCGACGCGGAGCTGCTGCCGCCCAAGCCGGCTTTGACGGGTAATAACTGCGATGTGTGTACATTTAAAGGAAAAGCGTAGTGGTTCTGTAAAAGAAGAAAAGAGATATTTAAATCTTCTTAATTTAGTCTCCGGGAGCACGAATATCAAAATTGTATTTCGGTTTGATGGTCTCCAAGTAGCCACAGCATCGTATATATAATAGCGCGAGAGGATAAGATCAATGAAAGGGACAAGACAAGAACTTTCGTCATGTTCTTGTCCTCTTGCAGTATTGTATATAAGGGGGGGGTCTGAAACACGCGGTTCGCAACTCGCTGGGACGCAGCCCGCAGGCTACAAGTCCTGGTCCCCATGTTTCGAGCGCTAGAAATCGCAAGCACCATTGTGATCTCATCTTGTTGATTCATGTGTGTTGGCGCACCGAGCTGCGGTGCACCAACACACTCGGCCACCGATCCTTCTTCCGACAGGTCGGACTACGACGAGGGCAGCGACGGCGAGGGTGGCGGAAGACAGCGTGGCGGAAGAGGACGACGTCATGGCGACGCCGGCGAGTCCGCGCATGCGCCGACGGCCCGTGCACGTGCGAGCCTTCCTGGAAATGATGCGGGACCTGCACCAGGAGAGGGAGAAGGGAAGGGAGGAGCGGGAGAGGAGGCGGGACCAGAGGCACACCGAGAAAATGCAGCTGCTGCGGAGGGCGCTGGCGCTGCTCGAGATGGACAGGATGGTCTCGCAGGCCACGCAGACGTAGCCTCGCCGCAAGCGCGGCGAAGAATAAACGGTTTTAGAGAGCGGAGTTTGTTATTGCTACGACGTACGGCGGGCGAGGCGTGGTCGGTTGTAAACCAGGTTCCTCTGCAGGCACATATTGATATAGGCACCGCCAACTTTATGTATGCACCAGAATTAAGGTGATGGGGATGATAATTACACCGATGAGTGGTTACTACAGTGCAATCCACCTATAACGATACCACATATTACGATGTACCGCTTATAACGATCAGTTTATAGAATTTCTAGACTAGAGATTATCAGTTTCTAGTTCAGATACAACTATAATCTATTATAACGATTGCATCTTCGGCTTCTCTCATTATCATTATAAGTGGATTGCACTGTACAAAGTGCCGTATGGTTAAAGCGAGCATGTTGTAACTATGAATACTTAAAATAGGAAGAATAAGAACATGGAGGACGTTCACAGACCACAATAAACATATGTCGCTAACTGAAAGAGCATCGTTGTCCGTAAACGTCCTCCGTGTAATTATTCTTTCTATTTTAAGTATACAAAGCGTCGTCGTGCGTTGCTTGCTTTCCATGATGTGGCAGTTACTGGGCTGGTTCGATTTACTTGCACCGGTGCAGAAAACTGCAGGGCAGTGTACATATTGTTTTTTTTTTTTTAAGAGAGGCTGCACTCGTAAATCGAACACTGTCGTGCAGCTGGTGCAGGACATGTGGACAAATCAAACATAGCAACTGTTGCCAAACGAGAATGGGAAACCGGACTCTTACTAAACGGTCGGTATGGGCTACCCACACTAGCAGTGCAGCCCAAAGCTGATTCGGGCATTTGTCCGTGAGTTGCACAACTCCGCCATACCTATGCTGCACCTTGTTTTTCTCCATCCGAAATATTTGCAAGGTTGATGCCATCTTTTTTTCTATATCCAGGTAGCGAGACAAACGACAAGCATGGGTCAAGGATTTTAAAATATTTATGGCGAATCGGGGACATCCAAAATGGCAATGGTCATACGAACAATGAGTGAACACTTTGCTCGTCCCCCATTCGGCAACATTCAAGTTCAGATGAAAAACGAATGCACAATAGAGCATGACATAATGAAAAATTGTGTACAAATGGAGTATGAGTGACATCGACAAAAACAATTCGGCGCAATTCGAACCGAAAAACTTGTTGGTCACTTCGCCGCGAGGACGCAGTCCTTTCGCAAACCCCGCTGGCTAGGCCCCGACGACGAGCTTGCGCAGCGCCAACCGCTTCAACTCCCCCAACTCTTCCAGCAGCGCTTCTTCCTCGTTGGAAGCGAGGTCGCAGCCCTCGACCTCCTCACCCTCCTCGCCGTTCTCCATGTCTGCCGATTCCTCGACGGGGTCCAGTTGCACGTCGTCCGCGTCAACGAGGAAGTTGTGCAGGACGCAGCAGGCCAGCACGAAGTCGCTCATCTTCTCGAGCGTGAAGAACTCGAGGCGCGAGAGCTGCCGAAAGCGCCGCTTGACAAGCGCCAGCGCGTCGTCCACCACGGCGTGGGTGACACCGTGCAGCGCGTCGAACTCCTGCTTGGCGAGCGTCTCGGGATCGTCGGAAGGCTTTTCACCATACGGGGGCACCAGGCATTCCCTCGGCGGATACACCACGTCGGTCAACAGGTGGTACCTGCGTCGACGCAGCGCCAGGGTGTTGAGCCGTGTGGGACGCAAGCCGACATTCTCAAGGCCCATTATCGAGTTTTTGGAATCTCTAAGAAAAAACATCTGAGAGCCTACATTACAGAGTTTGCAACGGCTCAATCGGGTTACGTGGTCTATTGGGGAGGAGGACAGACCGTGATGCCCCAAGCGGTTAACTTAACAACTACATGGATGGGGACAACAAATACAATGACGCAGCGCTCGGCCGACATAACCGAACGCGGCGTCAGCGTTCGTCTAGAGTTTGTGCGTGCTCTCCGGCGAGGGGGAGGAGGGTTTTTTTTTTTTCCCCACTACGGGCTGCATGAACAATGCAGCATGCACGATCCCAGCTCAGCACAAAAGCCGAAGTGGGTCAAGCTCGCATTCTCTGAGGATAGATCCGGCACTTAACGTCGCTTCGTCGATTGTTAGTATTTTTTACATTAAGCTGTGCCCCGCGCTCTATTGTAGAAGATGACATTGCTATGCCCATAAGGCCTGTCGGCATGTGCACAGGCCTTGTGTTGAGTAAACACCGAGCGTGGGGAAAACAAACGGGTCAGAGTGCCCCCTATAGTTCGATCTCCTGCCCAATAGGACGCATTTGCACTACGAGAAGCGAGGAGGTGATGAGAGCGTTTGTCGTCTGCAAGTGTCCCTGCTTTTCTGCCTGCTGCCCTCCTCGCCACACAATGACGCAGCGCGTGACCACCTGCGACCAATCTCCGCAGGAGGCGTCCACCATTAAATTGCAAACGCTCCTTGTGGTTTGAGTTGGATCCTTTGTTCAATCTAGGCTCTCACGAGAACAGACTGGCATCATCCCTGGAACTGCATTTCACTAGAGCGAAGGTTTTTCAGTATTCCTGAGATCAAACGTATAAGTAGTATCTAGGAGAAATGGTTGTTTAGAACATCAAAAGCTTTTCGAGCCAAGAAAAAAAGAATGCATGAAAATGTATAGAAACTAACAAAAATGTTCCACGGCAACCCGACAGACAGGTAGTGCCAGTGCGTTCTCGTGTCATAGGGAGTCTTAAAGCACTAGTGATAGACCGAATCTACCGGACTTCAGATTTGGCAAAGATAGGCAGATGCCAAACTTTTAAAGGAAAATTAGGCACAGATTCGGCAAATGTCTGCACATGCACAAGAACGTGATGGGGCCATGGATTGCAAATGGGTACTGTGTGTCGGTGCGGTTACCATCGTACAGTTTAGTACAACCAACAGTTACGGCAAGGTGTGGAGTAGGCACACGGTAACTGCGTTTGTGAGCCTTTGCAAGTAAGGTTCTCTTTAATATTTTCTGCCTCAAGAACAGAAGATCGACCAGTAATTTACGCAGTCCACTGCGCAGGTCACAAATGATGCGGTTTATTCAGGACAAGATTTTTATTTGACCTTTCGAGTGATGCAGCAAGGTAGTTGAAGCATCTGACAATTACTTTAAAGCACTTCTCGCAATTAAAAAACAATCCTGTTTTTGGCTCGCAAGTTGTTCGTGCCAAAAGAAAATAATATTGCTTTCCAATTAGTGTTAGTTTGCGGTTTTCATGAGTGCGCACAAAACTAAACACAGTACTGTCATGCTCGACCCCCATTGCACATCCAACATTCCTAACTCTTACCATCTTCCAAAACATTTGTGTGTGTCCTAACACCAGAAACCGGCATTTTAAAGGTTAAAAGCAAGACGTTGCGAATATGGGAGGCAACATGCACATTTACAATAATATTGTTATCTGTCCTGGTGTTAAAATAAAGGTATTGCCTTTGTTTTAACAACATACACACACTTGCAGGCTTGCGCCAATGAGGCCTCAAATGTGAAACTAGTAGCTCGATTCGTGACGGCGCTCGCTACTACCCGACCTCGTCATGCCACTTCTGCAAGAAGTCACTATAAAATTGCCAGTAAACACAAAAACAACACCAATACAATCACCTTATTTAGTAACAACTGTGTCAATATGCATGACATGTTGCAAATAAGTTAAGAAAAAAAAAAAAACTTTTTTTTCGCCAGAAAAATTGAAACATTAACGTTAAGTCTGGTAACAATGTATTTTGGCAAATCTTTAGAAAAATCTAGGAAAAGTTTGGGTTCACCAAATCCCAAGATTCGACACCGAATTTTCGATTTGACAAAAGTTTGGCCCATCACCATAAGGCGTGCAGTTGTAAGCTGTTGCAAGTGTGTGAATCGGCCTTTAGAGGTAGCACTTGACGAGCTCCACAAAAGAGCGTCCTTCAAAAACGGTTTTACAATGGTAGCTGTTGGTGCCCCTTCCCGGCCAGAAATGCTCGGGTACGAACGCAAAACCCCTCTACGTCAGAGGCGCCGCTCTCCCTCTCCCCGTCGTTCCCGACACGTGCACGCCAACAGCGGCGAGGCTCTCTCTCGCTCCCCCCTGTAGGCCGCCGCCGTTCCAAAAAACCGGCACGATCGCAAGAGCACTCTCTGTCTTTTGATCGTTCCTGCTACATCCACATAACCTTCGGCTACACTCTCCCTCCCCCTCCCCCTCACCCCCCTCCGGAAGCCGACGTTGTGAAATACCCACGTGGTCGTGCCATGGCGACGTGCTCCGTCGCCGCCCAGGTTCCGTTCTCGGAACCCGCTGCAAACATTGTATGGCACACTGGCTAAAAACAATTCTCCTTCAACGTGGCCTCCATCCGTGCAGCAGCTACCGCCGTCGATTGCGGCCCACTCTGCGTGGTTGTTTGCAGTTTTTCCGCCGCCCAAGCGTGAGGAGGTACGGGCCGATAGCGTTCCTAGTGCCACCAGCGGCACCGCTTTCATGGGCAACAGAAAAGGACTGTTTTTGAAGTACGCTAAATTTGCACAAACTTCTACGCTCACCATAAAAACAAATAACGAGTCACTTTTCACCGCAGGCAATGTGCATCCAACGTTCCACCGGATCAGTCCATATGGGCTGGGCCAATAGCATAGCGATGGCAAGCGACACCAAGTGGATGCACCATGTGGTGATCCGTCAACTGACTTCGGCCAAGAGTCGGCGACAGGTCAAAATTTCAAGGGAAGCTCCTCCCACCTCTTTCCACTTCAGCAGAGTGAACGCTGGGGAGGAGGCGACCTCCCCTCCGGCGTTCGCTCTGCTGAAGTAAAAGGAGGTGGGAGCTTTCACTTCACTCTCAACCTGTCGCCGACTATACACCCTTTTACTGTTTAAAAAAGTGAACCGCTGCTTGCGTCCAAAGTGACTTCCGAGCACTCCGTCTGTGCAAGACCGTCGAATGTGCTTATGTCACCGGTGCTAGGAAGCATAAACGCTAGACAGGCCACAAAGTCGGAGACTTAGCAAGGGCCTTCGGCTGTACGACTTAACGTCTTGGAGGAGACAATTTGGTTTACAAGAATACGCATATCGCGCTTGTTGGTTCTTTTGGCTTTCACCTGGAGAATGGGTGGTTAAATGTTTCATCGACGGTTCAGGCAGCGTTGTTAAGGTGGGCTTTGTTCGTTCCTTTGGTGAACCGGAAGTTTGCTGGGACGTCGAAGACTGGAGGCGTTTGCAAAGAAAAGGTCCTATAGTAACGCCAGCACATGATGTGTCCCAAGCGTCCCCACCTGTGGTCGAAGCTTTCCAGCCGCTTTCCGAGGGGGGACAGGGACAGGAGGGCCATGTTGCGCTTGTCCCCGGGTGGCCCCACAAAGACGTCCAGGAAACGCAGCCAGGGGTCGCTCACGGCCTGCATCGGTCAGAGCCGTATATTGGGAGAGTCCAGCCAGTGGGTGTTGAGACGAAGGCGCTGGTGAGGGGGAAAGTGAAGGAAAGGGAAGACAGCGCTAAAAGAGTAGAGAGCAAGGAGGAGACGACCACCGTTTTGACGCAACACTGTCGGCGCCGAGCACTGTTGAGGCTACGCGTCGTCTGCTACAAGCTTATTTCTTTTTCGCCCAAATAAAGGTTTGCGCTCAAACGTGGAGAAACTTCATTCGTTAGCTTTTCAAGCCACCGAGGAATAACACTATATCATTTTCTTGGCAGAACCTGCCAAATAAAATGAGAAAACCGAAATTTGGATGTCGATCCCATGCATTCCGCTATGAATTCCGCCGGGTGAATGAATGAAAATGGCGGCCCTCCTTGCTCAGCTGGGAGCAGCCGGGAGTTCACGCGCATGCGCTCGCGCCTCTCGCTCTGCCCTGCAGGCTGATTGGCTCACTCGGGAGGGGGCGTTACGGCGGCGAGATCATAGACTGGCCAAACTCTCCCCATATACGGCTCTGGCGTCGGTTAGAGTAACTCAATGGCGGAGGAGAGTATCATCTTCATTTTCTTTTGCAGCCGACTCCTCGTCAACGGAGAAGGGGTCACATGCGCCAAATCTGACTGCGGCGCTTGCGGGGAAGCCACCTCGAGGAGTGCCGGCTCTGGGGCAGTACAGAGTCGGTGGTAGCATGCACCTACCTGGACGGCCAAAGACAACTCGCGGTCTGTGGAGACCGGCCGCTGCCTGTGGGCCGGGCAGCGTACGTTCACGTGGGTGCCCCCCATGGACCCCACCACTCCTGGGAAGCCGGCAACCTGGTGCACAAAGGACAGACATCCACGACCAGTCACAATATGCTGTGCCCTCACACCTGGGGTTGGACTTCGATCAACTGGCTACAGTCCCAGTCAGGGGCAAATCCAAGGGGGGGGGGGGGGGGGGGGGGGGGGGCGACGGCGGTGGCCCCCCTTTCTTCTCGGAGGCCAATTTGACATGGGTGGACCCCCATGTGCACAAAAAAGAATGGGAGAATAATATCTGTTCAAATTTTCTGCCCTGCCCCCCTTCCCCCCCCCCCCCCCCCCAAACAAAGTTCTGGATCTGCCCCTGGTCCCAGTGAGCCAATTAGAGCAATGAAGCGAGGGACGCAATCGTGCACTCGTTAAGTCACAGTCGTTAAAAAGCACTAACACCCTCCAAAACATTTTTTAGGGGCGAAGCTCCTTAGGGTGTAGCCTTGTCCATCCGGCGTCCGTGCTCACATCAATCGCCATCCCATCTGTCTTCTTAAAAAAAGAAAAAATGTTTGCGCAGTCGACAGGATTCGAACCTGTGCGGGGAGACCCCAATGGATTTCTAGTCCATCGCCTTAACCACTCGGCCACGACTGCGGGACGAGCAGGGGGCTCTGAGATGTGGTAGTAACTCAGGAGCTGGGGATGTCATGGATGAAACGTTGCATGTAGCCGCTCAACGTCTATATAGGAGAGGGCGCTGCGGTCAAATGCGTATACAATCGCGTTAAACTTTGTGTTGTGTTTGAGTATTGTTCCAATAAATAGCGCGAGGCGGCGGGCAAAGAAGTGAGCGCGCGCCTGGGATGTGCGAGACGAAACGAGGGCACGGGACATTAAAAACCGTTTTTGCTCTGGAAGCTACATCGGCTGCACCTCGTCCTGTCTCTTGTCGTAAGCACCGTGGTTGTAAGCCACAACATAATTGGCGACGAGGTATGGAACGTCCATCACGACTGCAACGGGCATCGTAGAAGGAATCCACCGGGCCATGGCAAGAACGAACGAACATGGCAGGGTTGGGAAGGTTCGATCCATTTGTGGAGGATGGTGACGAAGATTTTGAATCTTACGTCGAAAGATTCGAACACTACCTAAAGGCTACAAAGGTAGGTAAGTGAAGCCCTAAGGCTCTCTGCTTTTGTCACCGCAATTGGCCAGAAACCGTACAAGACTCTTAAGACTTTACTCCATCCAGTCAAACCAGAAGAGAAAAGCTGGGAGGAGTTGGTGGCGGTTCTGAAAGGTCATTACGCTCCGAGGCCGATGGTGATAGCCGAGCGGTTTAAGTTTAACCGTCGCTACCAAAAGGAAGAGGAGATGGTAGCCACTTTTTCAGTGGAGCTGAAGAGGCTCGCGTCGACTTGCGGGTTCGGCAGTTTCTTGGATGATGCTTTGCGCGACAGGTTCGTCGCGGGATTAAAAGACAAGAAAACACAGTCCGACTTGTTGAAGAAGACGACGTTGACGTTTGGTGCCGCGTGTGACATTGCTAAAAGCATCGAGCTCGCACGCAAGGAAACCATCACGTTTCAGCCTACTGCAGGTCGTCAAGGGTCGTCTAGCCAACGAGAAGACGACGACGTGAACGCGGTTCTACAACAGAAAAGGGAACCGTGGCGCAAGTCAAATAAGGGTCCACGAGCTTCCACGACTAAACAGACATCCGGTCATACGGGAGACACCACGTCTTCATGTTCCTACAGCGGGCAGGTACACACTGGACAGCCCTGCAAGTACCGCAAGTACAAGTGTCATGTCTGTAAAAAGGTCGGACACCTGGCAAAAGTTTGTAGGTTCAAAACAGACTCCGTTAAACACGTCGCAAGTGAGGGAGCTGATGATATGTAGCTTTACACAGTGTACGCGTGTGAAACGGGAAGGCGTAACTATGAAGTAGATGTTAAAGTAGCCGACAAGCTCGTAAGAATGCAGATAGACACTGGAGCGTCCGTGTCGGTAGTGCCAGAATCGTGGTGTGTGAAGTACTGGGCAAATATTCCCAAGGAGCCATGCAACCTTAAATTGAGAATGTATGGGGGCAATTCTCTCACGGTGACTGGGAAGTTGTCAGTACCAGTCGAGCACAATGGACAGAGAAAGACACTTCCTCTTATTGTAGTTAAGGCACCAGGGGGCAACGTAACCCTGCTGCTTGGTCGAGACTGGCTAGAAGAGCTGAGGCTAGACTGGTCATGCGTAAACAGTGTAAGAGAAGAAAAGGAAGCAAGGCTCCTTGAGAAGTAGGCGGAACTTTTTGGAGAAGGTGTGGGTTTGATAAAGGGACAACAGGTCAAACTGGTTTTGAAGGAACAAAGCACACTTGTCTACTGCAAACCGCGACCTGTGCCCTATGCGCTAAGAGAAGCTGTAAACAGGAAATTCAATCATTAGTAACAAAAGGAATATTGGTACCAGTGTTGCAAAGTGAGTGGGCGACACCTTTGGTAGTGGTACCTAAACCAAACAAACAGGTCCGGTTGTGTGGAGATTACAAAGTGACCTTAAACCCAGTCTGTCGGACGAATCACTACCCTCTCCCGCTCATGGAAGATTTGTTTGTTTTACTGAGTGGTTGTAAGTACTTTACCGTACTTGATCTGTCTACAGCCTACCAGCAGCTGGAATTGCATCCGGAGTCACAAGATTTGGTCACTGTGAACACACACCTTGGCTTGTTTAAGTCCACGAGATTGCCTTACGGCATCACTAGTGCTCCTGCAATTTTTCAGTCCGTCATGGACAAAGTACTGGAAGGGCTGAGAAATGTCGCGTGCTATCTAGACGATGTACTAATAGCGGGCGAAACTTATGAGGACTGCTATGAAAAGGTGGAAAGCGTGCTGGCACGGTTCAGCCAACAAGGCATCAGACTAAAGAAAGAAAAATGCCGATTTTTTCAGACGTCTGTTCATTATTTGGGACATGTGATAGATCAACATGGGGTTCGACCATCGGAAGAGAAAGTAAAGGCCATACGGGAGGCCCCATGCCCCAAAAATGAATCAGAACTGCGCGCCTACTTGGGCATGATTAACTTTTATGGCAAGTTTGTGCTGAACATGTCAACCGGGCTGAAACCGTTGTATGACTTATTACAGAAGGGCACAAAATGGCGTTGGTCAAGGGCAGAAGACAACGCATTCAACAGAAGTAAGGCGTGGCTTATGCATGGAAACGTCTTAACGTTCTATGACCAAAAAAAGGAATTGGGGCTTGTATGCGACGCTTCCGCGTACGGAGTGGGAGCGGTTCTTTTTCACAGAGTTGGGAATGATGAGAAACCGATTGCTTATGCATCACAAACTCTGAGCAAGGCTGAAAAGGGCTACGCCCAAATTGAAAAAGAGGCCCTAGCAGTTGTTTTTGGGTTGAAAAAGTTTCACAAGTATCTGTATGGCAGAAATTTCAGCATCTATTCGGATCACCAGCCGTTGGCAGGGCTGTTAGGTCATGAAAAACAAATTCCGGCGATGTCAGCAGCCAGGATGCAGAGGTGGGCTCTCTTACTTGCTGCCTACAGTTACAAGTGGGTTTATCGGAAGGGTAGCCAGATTCAGAATGCTGATGCACTGTCACGTCTGCCTTTGTCCAACGTGAACGATAGCTCAGACTACGTCAGTTTCTTTTCGGCAGTGGACGAAGTGCCATTGTCAGCTCGTGAAATTAGGAGAGAAACTGAAAAGGATAGTGTGATGAAAAGAGTGTTGTTTTTCACACTGAACGGATGGCCTTCACATGTGGACAATGAGGCATTGCAACCATACTTTGTGCGCCATCACGAATTGTCGGTTGACCAAGGGTGTGTAACATGGGGAAATCGAGTGATCATTCCCGAAGTGTTTAGGCAAAAAGTGTTGTCCCTGTTGCACGAGGGACATCCAGGCACCACCAGAATGAAAATGCTATCACGTAGTCACGTGTGGTGGCCTTTGATAACATATGATGTCGAAAACACTGTCAAAAACTGTAGTACTTGTCAACTAACGCAGAACGCGCCACCACGTGTTCCATTATTAACGTGGGGTTGGCCAACGCGCAGATGGCAAAGGGTGCACCTTGATTTTGCATACCGGGATCAGAACTGGTTTTTGATTCTTGTAGATGCTCATTCAAAGTGGGTAGAGGTGTTTCTAATGAGTTCCACTACGACAAAATGTACTATCGAAAGATTGCGAAGTGTTTTCGCCGCGTTTGGACTACCAGAAGAGGTAGTGACAGACAATGGACCCCAGTTTGTGGCGACAGAGTTCGTAGAGTTTCTGTCGATGAATGGGGTACGCCACACAAAAAGTCCTCCGTACCATCCCGCCTCAAATGGAAGCGCGGAACGGTGTGTGCAAACCGTCAAGCGGGACCTCCTGAGGCAGGTAATCGACGAGCAACGGACGGGTGTACCGAAATCGATGCAACATTGAGTCGACCAGTTCCTGTTTGCATACAGAAATACCCCAACTGGTACGACCGACAAAACTCCAGCCGAGCTGTTTCTCTCTTGGAAGCCTAGGACCCGTCTGAGCTTCCTTCATCCTGAAATGGAGAGACGCTTGAGAGATCGCCAGCAACAAATCAAGACAGCCGCCGACATGAGAAGAGGCTCTTGGCGAACTTTTGAAGAAGGCGACCAAGTCCTCGTCCGGGGATCATGTCCGACAGATCCTGCATGGTTGGTGGGACGTGTTGTGAAGAAAGTAAGTGCATCAACCTACGTCGTGATAGTGCAAGATCAGCATCGGTATGTGCACGTGGATGATGTCCGTCCGAGACACTTCGAAGATTCGTCTGCACAGAGAAGAAATGTCGACACTCCAGCTGCAACACCACGAAGGGCGTCCGGTGGTTCTCGAGACAACATGACAGAGCCTGCTGCCCTCGATATGGAGCCTGTTTCAGAGACAGCGGTACCGACCACACCAGTGCTTCGAAGTAGCATACGACAACGTAGGCCACCGGAGAGGTATTCTTGTGTGAGTCAGCCAAAACATTGATGGGGAAGGAGTGTTGTGTTTGAGTATTGTTCCAATAAATAGCGCGAGGCGGCGGGCAAAGAAGTGAGCGCGCGCCTGGGATGTGCGAGACGAAACGAGGGCACGGGACATTAAAAACCGTTTTTGCTCTGGAAGCTACATCGGCTGCACCTCGTCCTGTCTCTTGTCGTAAGCACCGTGGTTGTAAGCCACAACACTTTGCATGCATTGGCTCAACGTTTATAGACGAGAGGGCGCTGCAGTCAAATGCTCAGCTGCGTATATAACAAAATGTTTTGTTGGCCTAGTTGGTTAAACATTACGAAAATTAAAAAGCGCAAAAGACAAAGACAAGAGGGAGACAACACAGGACAAGCGCTTACTCGCAACTGACGTTTTAATTCGGAAGATGAGGAAGATGAAGAACCCTAATGTTAAATGTTAGAAATATTTATGAGAAAGGAGTGAAAGGATCTGAAAAGACTGAGAATTGAAAAAGAAAAAAGAAAAAAAGAAAAAAAGGAAATTAGTAAAAACAATAGGAAATGGTGGGCATGATTAAAGTAATAGTGAAAGAAATGACAGTGAATATATTAAGAAAAAGAAAGAGGAAGGTAAAGCAAATTAAGAAATTCTTATTTGCTTTACCTTCCTCTTTCTGTTTCTTAATATATTCACTGTCATTTCTTTCACTATTACTTTAATCATGCCCATCATTTCCTATTGTTTTTACTAATTTCCTTTTTTTCTTTTTCAATTCTCAGTCTTTTCAGATCCTTTCACTCCTTTCTCATAAATATTTCTAACATTTAACATTAGGGTTCTTCATCTTCCTCATCTTCCGAATTAAAACGTCAGTTGCGAGTAAGCGCTTGTCCTGTGTTGTCTCCCTCTTGTCCTTGTCTTTTGCGCTTTTTAATTTTCGTAATGCGTATATAACCATGATCCGTACCACACATTCTCTTTCTGACATGGACCGTTGGCTTAAGCAATGGAGATGCGTTCCCACGGCTTCTAGCGGATCCAAGCTGATCCGCTAGAAGAACCACTGGCTCTGCATTTCACCGACCATAAAGCAGTAATAATGAAGTCGAAAGCAACCCGGAACTCGGCACTACCTATGAGCAATAAAAAAAAAAAACAGCATCATTAGCACTACCTATGAACAAAATCAGTATCATCAGCGCCACCAAGCTTTGCCACAATCAACATCATTCACCATGCGGAGATGCGGTCATTTTTTATTATTTGCCAGGCGATTTAATATGGTGTTGGGAGACTAGCCAATCAATATTTTGCTGCAGAGTCACCTGCATTTTTCATAAGGCAAAAAAACTCAACTGTTCGAAACCAAAACTCAAGCACAGAAGATTAGGGCCAAAAGTCAAATAACTACACTCAACCAAGTTTCTTTTCTTCTTTTTTTTTCTTGCTTTTTTGGTTTTCGAAGCAGATGAAGACGAACTTCTGTGAACCGTTTGTCGTGCTATTGTTTCACACTTGCATCCCTTTCACTCAATGTTTTACGCTTGAAGATTGATGGGCTGCTAAAACGAACAACAGTTCCAAAGTAGAAGCCCTACATCCGTCGCGACGTTGGTCCACCGTCCAGCCCGCGGTACGTAGCTGTACTGAAAATGACATGTACACATACTTTCTGTAATCCGTGCAATTTTTTTTTCTTTTTCGATCACTGCATTTGCAATTTTTTGGAGGCCACGAAAATGGGGTTCATACTCTTTTCTATTTTGTGTGCCTTCGATAACCCACGACATTGAGTATATTTGGTACACACAGTTTGAACGCCACATGACCGTGGAGAAGAGAATGGTAGCGACTAAAACCAGCCAATTCTCTATCGGCTATTTTTCGGGCGGAAAGAAAGCGAATTTCGAGCCACAAATTACGTTCTGGGTAGTTGGGCTCTTATAGATTATGTCCAAATAAAAACCTTGGCGAGCATAAATACCCCGTCGGTGTCTTTCTAAGAATTGTTGCAAAGAACTATTGCGAAAGACTGCGACATCGCGTGACATTGTAATGTCACGCGACACCACGTCACATGACAGCGCGTACACCATGATGTCACGTGACAGTGCGACATCATGCGATGCTGAACGTCACATGACATTACGTCGTCAAATGATATTATTGCTTGAAATGACACTGAAGCTGGTCATTAAACGTCATGATGTCTCATGACATAATTATGTCCCACGACACCATGAGCCCTAATCTGGACACTTAGCGAAAAAGTCGGCGAGAAACCCGGTCTTAGTAGGCACAATTGAGCCGGCATAATTTTTTCTCAAATTCGAGGACCATTTTGGCATCCCTCAAAGTTCCCACCTCCAGGCATTTCCTTCCCGGGTCCCCTGGAAGGGCGGAGTTCAAACCTTGGGGTACCTTCTGAAACTCTCCGGCGAGCAGGTCCAGGTCGGAGGGGAATGCGATGAGCCGGGGCGACAGGGAGCACAGGAAGCAGAGCACCTTGTCCATGTTCCGGTGCAGGGTGCTCTCGCTCGTGTCGAAGCGCCGAGCCACCTCGCGGATGCACGAATTGTTCACGGCGTACCTGCAACCAGGCACAGTGGCCTTCCCTCCAGCAGTTGTCTAGAGGTCTGTTCACACTTTTGCGTTTGCTCGCGACTCAGTTCTTGTGATCTCTTAAGATGAGAGAACACTGGCGCCATCTTTGAGGTGACCTTGGAACTGCATTTTCCTAGAGCGGAGTGTTCGCAACATTTGTAAGGTCGAATGCGCATACTATCTACGAGAAATGGTCATTTGCAACGTCAAAAGATTTGCAAGCCAAAGAAAAAAACACTTTAAATTGGGTTAGTTGGTTTGTTACGAACTGGAGGGCTTAAAAGCACAAAAAAACACAGACGAGGAAGAGACACATACAAAGCCATTCCGTGTTGTATGTGTCTTTTCCTCGTCCTTGTTTTTTCGTGCTTTTAAGTCCTCAAGATTGAAAGAAAAAGATTGATGCACATTCACAATGTATCTAGGAAACCACAACGTCTCTTGCAATGTGTATAGGAAACTGCTTTGATTTCTACAAGCATAGAAATTGCTTTGGTGTCCTTCAAGAAAAAAGATGCAAGCTTCATATAGGATAGGAGATTGAAGGCCCATTCACATGGTCGCATTTCACTATGCTCGACTCCAAAATAGGGGCTCAATGCAAGATATGACTGCAAGCTACCTGACGCTCGTGCAAATGGAGTAGTCAGCACCGCACGGACAGTACCGACATCTCTAAAACAATGGTACTCTGTATAAAGCGTGCCAAACAAGTCGAGAAGTAGCTTGGCACACTCCACACAAATTATGGGTGCGCCGGTAACTCGCGGACACTTCGCAACATAACATTGTGAAACATCGCTGAGTGAACGGGCCTTAAAGGAGGTGCACGTAAAACATACCAGAGAAAAGAGAGTATGTGCTCTTCGGGGCTCTTTTGGGGGCAGCCTCCGTGGCCAGTGTTCTCCAGGTAGTGCCCGGACTGGTAGAACTGCCTCGTCAGCGAGACGGTCGTGGCTCGGCTCATCAAGAAGTGGGTTCGGAACTGCGCGAGCAACGGGAGCCCGTCCTCTTTGCAAGTGGCGTTTGATTGAATGGCGGCGCAGAAGATGACAGCCACCCGGGCCAACACCACCTAGACTGATCAAAACCTGCGAAAAGCCTCTTTTACCCCCATGGAATGTCATCGCACCAGGATGGTGCCAACTCGGCAATTGGTCCCCGTCCCGATATTACGCGGCCGTTCCAAAGCCCCGGCACACTTCTGGTTCACATTTCCTCATTTTTTACTCACCATTCTTTTATCGTAAGAGTGAATTAAGTCGGACAGTGTTAAAAGTGACCATTTCCAGAAGATAGCGTGTATATCTGGCTTTGCAAATACTACGAAACCCGCCGTCTAGTTCAGAACCAGAAATGGTTAGGGGCTATTTGCACACTGGTGCCACCATGTTTCAACTTGCGCGAGGAAGAGCAAATAGTAGCAATAACCTCGCCGACCTCGAGCGTCGACAAACTTCTATCCTTTTCCGATGGCAACAGGCTCCGCCTCTCCCAATGCGACGGCCATTAGCCAACGAGGTATGTTTATTTACCATGGCCCCTGCAGTAATTATTACCGGAATGCTACCCAGTTTTGGTTTACGGTAGTCTGCAGGGAACGCTATGAGGCATCCGAGCCAATCAAGCACTATGGACGTGTCACGTGACTATACGGGTCACTGCGCCCCTCTTGAAGGCCACATGCCATTCACGGAAAGTTGAAATGGCTTCGACGGCTCGCAGCGTCTGTTGCAGTCCGTTGTAAGGTGAAGCGGAGCACAGATGCTCATGTACAAAAAAAGAGGGTGCACGGGGTTTGCAGCGCACATGCGCGCTGATGCCGCTTTCATTGACAATTTTTCCTGTGTCTCAACGTGGCGCATGTTTGCGGTCTGTGTCTCCATCATCATCGAGTTTCGTTGAGTCCAGCTCACGGTGTAAGATAGGTATGGACACTGAGCACATCAGCTGCCAGATAAACTCCTGTCCTCGCCTTGGTTGCAAGCGGTGCCACCAGTTGACTGAATAAGCGGCTAGTGGTACCCTGTCGCAGTTCCCGGTTTCACATGCTTCGCAATGGGAGATGTGCTTGTTTTTAAAGTCGCTTTCTGGGTGTGCCACGTCATGAAGAACCCTGCACTTGTGCTACGTGTGTTGCTTAGAGCGTCGTCATTGACCCCAGCTTCGTGCCTCAACGGCAGCAAGAACAGTTTTATGAACGCATTGAAGAGAAGAAATCTCGGGTGCGGTGTTCAAACCAGCGTTCGTCGAGGTCAGAGCAGACGCGCCGAGCGGAAAGCGAATGCGCCTGGGTTCCATGGCCAACGAGACAGTTTTTTTTCCACTTTCTTTTTTTCCTCAGTTGTGCCGTCTGGCCGGCAGAGACGCTCTCGACGTAGGCTACTCGGAGCCATATATTGGACTAGTCTGGCCAGTAGGTGTGGCGCCAAAGGCGCTGGAGAGGAGGAAAGCGCCGAGGAAGCGAGAGAGAGAAAGGAGGGAGCAAAGGGGAAATGACTACCATTTTGACGCAACTTGCTTTCAGCGCAGAGCACTGCTGAGGCTACATATCGTCTGCTACGGGCAGACTTCTTTTTCGCCTTAATGAATGTTTGCGGTCGAACACTGACAAAACTTCATTCGTTGCACTTCTAACCCACCGAGGTAAAACGCTACATCATTTCCTTACCAGAGGCTGCGAAATAAAAGGAAAGAAGCGAAATTTGGATGTCAACCCCATGCGTTCCACTGGGCGAATGAATGAGAATGGCAGCCCTCGCCGCTCAGCGGGAAGCAGCCCGGAGTTAACGCGCATGCGCTCACGCCCCTCACTCTACGCCGCGGGCTGATTGGCTCACTCGGCGGCGAGATCATAAACTGGCCAAACTCTGAGCAAATCGTCTGCTTGCGCAGAAGTTGCAGTGACGTCAGAACGACGCTAACTATTTCGATCAGCCAATAAGAGCTCGGTGCTCTGACATCATCGCAAACCCTCCGCAAAGAGCAGACGGACTTGCGACCCGCATAGGAGTTTACCGATCGCGTCGCAACGCTCACCGTGCTGTGTGTCATCACCTACAGAGTATATTAAACCGTAGCCCTGTTTGAAAGCTTTCGTACCACGCACTCACCTCAGAGTCCGAGTAGGCCCGGACCACATCCATGAAACCGCTGGTCCTGGGCTGCCTCTCCGGCACCCCCAGGAGCGCGTCGAGGTTTTCTCCTGCGAACCGTACCCAGTTCTCGTCGTCGCTGCTACTCGAACTGCTGCTCTCGGAATCGAGCGCGGCAACCAGCAAGGCGGCAATCGCCGCGCGTCTCTTCGACACGCTGGACATTGTGCGTTTCGCCTGCTCGGCAGACCTGCTGCGGTATCACCGGTATGTTCGTCCCGTGATACGGTCACATGTCGCTTAAAATACTAGAATAAGGGTGGCAAAACCTTCAACCACAAACAGCGAAGTCCGATCAGCTTCTGATCACAGCTTCTGATGCTCTTCGCGAACTTCGAAAAGTTACGCTTGGATTGGATTGGATTTCATGGCTTTCTAGTTCCTGCTTCTCCGTATGCTAGTGTCGAATTTCGGTTTCGAATTTATCTTCCTACTCATTTGCCATTTTTATTTTTTTTTTTTTTTTTTTTTTTTTGGGGGGGGGGGGGGGGGGGGGCATTAGAAAAGCACCCCCCCCCCCCCTTTTTTTCTGTCTCTTTTTAGTTTTTGCCGCATAAACGAAGCACTAGCGATCCGAACCAGATGTCAAAGTTAACTGATCTGATTACTTTTTCAATGGGAAAATGGCATACGAAGCCCTTGGGGTAAACTCCCGAAAGCGGGCACCATTTTCCCACTGAAAAAAAAATAAGAAAATGGTTCTTAAACTTGGGAATCTGGTTCGAACACTTAGCACTGCATTTGGACGAACTGAGCGTTCTGCGATGCATAGCTTCTTTTTGCGGTGAAAAAGACACTTTTACTTTTTTTTTTTCGGGGACACGCAGTGCAGCACTACAGCGTGCCCACAAATTTGTAAAAGCCGTTAAAGTGACCGCATGAATCGGCTTGGTAACGTATCTCGTTACAATTTCCCACAGAGGTGCCCGAAGCTGGTTGTATTGCATGAAAATTCAAAAGAACACACTTGCCCAAGTAAAGACTAAAAAAAAGGACAACGGATTTCCCCTACCTACAACACCCACCCACACACCCTCCGACTGGCGCCATTGTTGCATTGCAACAATGGTAATTTCCCTTAGTTGTGAGAGTGCCATAGACGACTACTTTGAAAAAGTGGCTTCGATCCATACCCGAGAACCGAACTAGATGCAATCGCAACGCCGCCATTTCTCCCAGAGTGGCCACTCCGGAAACTGCATGGCTGCACATACCGGTCCAGTTGAGTCACGCGAAGGCCGGTGGTGCCATCTCGCAATGATATCTCGCTGTAGCTATGTAAAGCAACTAGTTTTTTGACACTCCGCTGAAGGGCGGAGTTGTAGTCGTATACAGTTCGGTTTCGGTGGACTCAAGCGGTCCGGGTTTTAAGAGAGTTTCCCAAGCAAGCTGTTCTATTAACGTTGCCGCCAGCAAAAGATTGGTTGCAACTGCGCACATGCTGCTTTTTTGCATGGCAAGGTGGAAAGCAGGCAGAAAGGCGGCGACACTCGCAGATGATGAATGCGCTCGTCACCTCCTTACAGCTCTCATTGCAAATGTGGGCCAAACACCACATAACCCCGATGGAGCAGTTGGGAACTCAGTAACTTAGGCTCTCTACTCAACCTTACCGTCCGATCGTGCCAAAAGCACTGTTTCTACAGTGAAGCTGTTATACGCCAAGGTCTGGGAAAAAATGTGTCCTCATATGTCAACAGAAAACTCCCCATTGGTCTTGGCAAGCATGAATAAATAAAAACAAAAAGAGGGGGCAACCAGCGTAAGTCAGCCTTCAATCCTTGGCATTATTAGATAGAGAGGTCCTGATCCCTCGTTATCTCTAAGCATCGTCCTAGAAGTCGTCCTCGAGGTCATCCTAGAAGTTGTCCTTGAGGTCGTCCTAGAGGTCATCCTAGAAGTTGTCCTTGAGGTCGTCCTAGAGGCATTGTCCTTGAGGTCGTCCTAGAAGACGTCCTTGAGGTCGTCTTAGGCAGCGTCCTTGAGGTCGTCCTAGACGTCATCCTCTAGGCGTCCTTCAGGTCGCCCTGGATGTCGTCCTCTAGGCTTCGTTCTCAAGGTCATCCTAGGAGTCGTCCTTGAGGTCGTCCACTATGCATTGTCCTAGACGTCGTAAAGATAACAGCTTCACTGGTCCTCCATCTTCACGTGAAGTGAAAGGGCTCTACAATTTCTTTTAACCTAAAATGGCACACACTCAAGAAAACACGTTAACTGGACACAAAACAAATAAAACCGATGGTTCGTCGAGTAATTTCAAGATGTTGTCTGGTCTTGGCGTGACCCGGCAGCAAGCTAGAGCCGAAATCGCTGCCGCCATCCATCAGTTATTGCGCCAGTCAAAGGGTGCGTGGATGGTAGACGGGCACTGCAGGTAGGAAAGATCAGTTACCGTTTTATTTACTTTCTACTTGGGCAAGTTTGTTCTTTGAAATTTTCACGCGATACTTCCACCAACTTCGGGCACCTCAGTGGTAAATCGTAGGACGATGTGTTACCGAGCCGATTTATGCGGCCACTTTAAAGGCTTCATCGGACTTCGTGGGCACGCTGTAGTACTCGGATGACCTGTCAACAGGAAAGCTGCGAGGTGAAAATCTTGGAAGTTTTTAACATATCCAACCTTTTAGAGCCCTCAGCATCAAAACCGTATTCGGAGTAACAACCGTAAAATTGTATAAAGTCTCGATCAAGCAGTCGCACTTCAGCTACAACAGTGCGAACCACAGTGAATGTAATACTAAAACCGTGCTACAAGTGTCAACAATAGTAGACGGGTGTCGGAGCAGTCACACTCAAACAGGTTATGTCTTGAAAGTCTACACCAGGAGGCTCGAGCCCTTTTCAAAGTATGATGGAGACAGGCAGCATGAGACGGAGGGATGTACATTTTAATCGATAAATACTACTACAATAGTTCTTTCTGGCCACATGCACACTCCATTTTTCCACGCATCTCCATCTAACAAGCATTTTGCAAACGTACACCAGACTGATTCAAAGTTCTACAAACAACGAACAACTGCAGTCGGAGGAGCGACAATTTTTTTTTTCAAATGTACAAAAAATGTTTTACATTGAAAATAAGTTACTAGCAGTACTACTACATCGAACACATTCTTGCAGCCTTGCAGCTGCGACCCAAAAGCAGGAGCGAGTATGTCCAGAATGCTAGAGTTGGTGAGAGTGCTTACCTGTGCTACCACCATATACCATCATTTTCATGCGCTTGAAGATCCCGAGTAGAAGTCGGACTAAAAGTATCCATCAAACTACGATCGGAAAAATAAGACGAGCGCAGGACTGAGTGTCCCATTATCGTCGCTGACAAGTTAAGGACGGCAGGGAGGAGCTTCGGTCGTCCTGCCTACAGCTCAAGCTTCCTACATTCAACGTTTCGGCATCTTGTGCACCTGGAGCACGCACCGGCAGTCGAGGCGAGGCGTAAGACATGGAGCGCGTGCTGGGGGCCGGGCGTTCGAAAGACACGCCCTACCGTTTTCACTCTGCCAGCAACCACAGTAGCTTGACAAAAATGTTGAAAGCTACGGATCAATAAACTCGCACAAGCAAAGCACCTAACAGCACACCGTTGGTGCTCTATCCTGAGGAATACTGCAACATACTTTGCTCTAGATGCTCCAGGTATGGCTTGCGTCGACATCGCGCCGGTGGCCATTCCGGTGGCCTTGCTAGTTGTGCACAGCTTCCGCAGCATGCATTCCACACTGCCAAATGCTTTTCTCGGCAGGAACGAGTAAAAACGACCACCGGCATGGTGCACCGTGCCATGTATGCGAAGCACAAGTTCTGCTTCTTGCGCAGGGGCTAAGGCGAAGTCAGAATGATGCAGGCTCCAATTGGAACGGTAGTGGGTAGACCTTGAGGCCCCTAGCATTGAGGGCTACAACCCCTGCGCAAGAAGAAGCAGACAGATTTGTGCTCCACATTGGTTCAGTGCTTCTGCCCTTGGAAAAGTTATACTGCTATGCTTACGCATAGCACGGGCTCTCTACTTGTTTATATCTCCGGGAACATCTATTTGCCTCGAACAAGAACAAACGTGAAAGTGACAAACCATGGCAGCAAACAAGCTCTTTTTACACACCGCCGAAAGCTCACGCTACTTTTATTATATAAAACCTAAAACACTTTGAGCAACAACACAACAAATATGGAACTCGATGTGGAATCAGCTTCGCCGCAAAAAGACGACACGAAAACGGGAACATTCTTGGACTCAACGGAACGAAACCAACCACGAAACGGAGGCTAATATTTGCGCGAACTAATGACGAGATATGGCTATTGTTGACGTATCTGCAACGCTCCTAGGATCGTGGCTTCTTCCGCGATGCAATGACTGGATATCACTAGCGCCTCTCCGAGTAAAAAGCAGCAACATCGCCTCGACTGCGAGCCTCACTGCATGAAATGACTCGCAAGCACGCCATTATTCACGATGGTACGCGGGAATTACTACGACATGTTAATAGCAATAAAATTATATCTAACACCGCTACGTCGACCGATAGCACAGTACCCGATTTCTTGACTGACCGAAATTGCTGGTGGGTGGGAAGGGCAAACTTGCAACGGAACGTTTAGCGGAGTGAAAGTCCTCAAATAGCCACCAAACATTTAGAGACAAACAAAGTGTCTCTTTTTCGAGCCTACCTCCGGTGTGAGCACGCAGTCTGCAACGGAGCTTGAGCCGCACGTGTGTAACAAACTCTCGTGCGACGCCAAAGCACTGCCAAGGAAGCGACCCGAAAGTGCCCCCCGTTCTTCAAACCTGCCGCTATATAGACCGGTACATCTGTCTACACACCGGTACACCTGTACGTACATCAGTGTACCAGCATACAGACCACATACAGTGCAATCCCCTTACCACAATCCTGAGAAAACCCGAAAATTCAATCGTTATAACCGATTATTCATGTATCTGAACTAGAAACTGAGAGTTTCTAGTCTAGAAACTTTAGAAACCGATTGTCATAAGCGCCATATGGGGCATCGTTATAAGTGGATCGCACTGCACACATACACCAACACACATAATGGCATACTGATGTACCAGTATGAAGACCATTTGACACTAGCCCACATACCGTCACACTGATCTACATACTGTTACACCGCTCTACATACCAGTGCACCAGTGTGTAAACCGGTGTGTAGACCACATATACGTGCACCGTTATGGCAGGAAACCACATCTCATTTCCACAAGTCCGGCCATGGCCTCGGAACACCGGGAATGTCGAGCTTCTACGGCAATGCGGGTACGTCGGGCAGGGAGGGTTCTGAAAACCGCAGTCTGGGAGAGAAACGTGGGAGGGGTGGGGAAAGCAAGGTCACGCCGTCACAACGGGGCACTGCCAAGCCACCCGGCGGCGACGGTCTCTCCGCGTTTCACACTTTGTGGTTAGAGTGCGTGGAAGGCAGTTCAGACGTCGTCGAAGAGACCCCTTGGCGGCTGTTCCCCGTGATGCCAGGCAGGTTCGGGGCGCTGGTATCGTTCCCACGACGGCTCCGTATAGTCCAGGGGCTCGACGCCGCGCAGCAGTTCCGTGCGGGCGCTCTCTTCCGAACCGGACCGCGTCATTGTACCGGAGCCTGCGCGACGGCAAGGGCGAGAGTCGAATCACCTGGTCGCCGTATTCCGGCCTCTCCGTCTCACAAAGGGGCAGTTCTACAGTCTTTAACGTTGAAAGAATTTCTAGCTTATATTTTCTATGTTGTTTTATGTTGGTACAAATGAGAGAGGACGAGCCACAACCCCCAAATACTGCAATTTCACCATGTAATCCCAAAGCTAAAATACGGCAAAAGGCATAAAGCGCGTGCTGGAGGTTGAGCGTTCGGAAGACGCGCCTTTCTCACTCTGTCGGGGACTTCAGCTAAGTTCACGTCACGTGACACTTCGGATTTTCTGAAGTCATTTGTTGGTACTTTAGGACCATTTTCGATGCGTGGGCGGAATAGGAAGCTAAACACGCAGGTCGGGAATGCGTTACAGGCGCTACGTCTCTGCTTGGCGGCGCCAAAAGTGGCGCCCCCTTCGGCCCGCATTTGAGATTGGCGACGCTGCGCGTCTGCTTGCACTCACCCGGCTGCGTGGGCAGGGCCGGCTCGTCTTGCCGGGCGGTTGCAGAGCGTGCCTGTGGACGGCGCCTGGACTCTCCCAGGGCCACCCTCTGCCTGCGGCCTCGCTCTGAAATGGACGCCGGAAGCCGCACTTTGGGAGCAAACTTTTCGGATTCTGAAGGAAATATCTATAGTACAGTAAACTCTAGTTAATTCATACTTGGGGAAACCACGAATTTTGCTTGAATTATCGGAAGTTTGAAGTATCAGAAATTTATCAAATATGATGCAAGAAAAAGTTATGATTTGCCATACGAATGGCTACACATATAAAGCAGATATGTGATGATTTCCTCTTCATAAGCCTGCTGATTGTAAGCAGGTATGCCACACAAGAAACATTAGTTAAATGTATGATTAAAGTTTGTTTATCACTCAAAAATGTTGTTTATCGTGGACTGCTTACACAGCACATGACAACTCAAAACAAAATTAAGTATGTTCATCAGGCCAAGTTGTCTAATGTAAACTATTAAGAAGGGGACACAGGAGCAACGAAAATGGGCACTGCGCGGCAGTTTTCGTAGCAACTTGTGAGGACGCTGTGACAAGGACCTATGCCATGCTGCCACTCCACAGTGTCCGCGCAAGTTGCCGCGAAAATTTTCGCGTGGCGCCAGTTTTCATAGATCATGTGTGCTCCGCTTGAGCCCGTTGAGTGCGCTTCTCACCAAGCACCAGTGCGCTGCCGAGAAGCAACACCCGCGGAAGCAAGCTCCGCGGGCGTTGCCTCCCTGCAGTGCACCAGCGCTCGGAAACAACGCAATCAACGGGGCCATGAGAACAAAAAACATGAATTGCACAAACATGTCATTCGGATTAAGCGGCTTATGAATACATTAGAAAATAAGCGGAACAACCAAAATTTTGAAATTTGTTAGAAATATAACCAGAAGTACGAAATATTTGAGTTTCAATTATCGTGAGCCTACTGTAGTCAACATCGGTGACCCGACTACTGCTAAGTATTCGAGGTGCCTTAAAGGAGCTGTGCAACGATTTTAACGTTGAAAGAATTGGCATCTTCTGCTTTTGATATTGTTCACCTTGTCACAAATGACAGAAAACACACCTCCTTTCAGCGAAATGTTGCGATTCCGCTGCTTAATAGCAAGGCAAAACTTAGAATACTCCCCGACCTGCACCCGCGAGCGGCGGCCATGAGAAACACGCGGCGTGACGTCACTGGGGAATCTTGTAGAAAAATAGCAAGTTGTGCGAATACCTGCTCGATAAAGGTAACTTTTCTATAAATCTTGTCGTTACAACATATCTATAAATGCGTCAAAAACCTGGTATCATCGACAAAACTTTTATTATACGGAGTTTTAGTGGCGCCATCTATCCTAGCTCCACAAAACTATCAGCTCCATCTGCTACCGTGAACAGCCGCCAGAAGCCGGAGGGGGAGGGGGAGAGAGCCTAAACCTCCTTGAGAGGGCCGGACGGGTATGGCCGGACCCGGATGAGACTTTCCTCCTTTTATTTTTGCGCAGCGCCCGCCAGCACGTGGTCACGCGGTCGCCAGCGGAGGAGTTCTCGCTGCTCACTGATGGCTCTAAAGAGAGAACTTTTCCGGAACCCCGCGCCTACTCAAGTGACGTCACTGCGCTCGTGACCCGGAAGACGACGTACGAGTTGGGAGGCGGCAAAAGCCTGGATCTTTTTCATTTTTTTAAATAAAAACTAGGGTATCCAGGCAAAATCTGTTTTCTGTATTTCACTTCAAAAGTGTCAGGCATCAACTTCCACAATAATTTAAGCATAGCCCTGAAATTGTTGCACAGCTCCTTTAAAGGACACATGCAAAGGAAAAAAGCTTTTTTTTAAACATCCTGGTTGGGAAAAGGAAGTCATAAAATGAATTTACAATGAAAAAGAAAAATTTTTAGAGCTACATTTATGGCGCGATACGAAGTTGTAGCTGGCGCCCGCGAGCGCCGCGGAAAAGTGGCCGCTATTTGTCACGTGACTGGCCGCTATTTGTCACGTGGTAAATCCGCTCTTTTGGAAGCTTCCTAGGGTCTCCAAAAGTAACTTATTCATCTTCGTTTTATGTAAAACAAAAAACTAAGATTCATCAGTAACTTTTAGAGCCCAAAGGAAACTACTGAAAAAGCGCAAGCAGACATGATAGATCTGTGTGCCGGTCAGACGATGGCGGCGGTGCCGCGGAGCAGACGAATTTGCGCGGCGACGGCGGCGGCGGCGTGGAGAAACGCGTTGAAGCGGCTGCGCACCACGCTCGGCGTTCGGCAGCGGTGTTTTTGAGGCGGCAGCGGCGCTGCGCGACGGCGCACAGGTCAACCGCGTGACCCACAGGGGCTCCCGCGGGCATTAACATTTTTTTTCTTCGTTGTAAATTCGTTTTATAACATTCTTTTTTCATCTAAGCTGTTTAAAAAAAAAAAGTTTTTTTTTTTTAACAATTTAATTGTAACACACGTGTCAAAAACTTTATTTTATGCGAAAAAAAAATTTTTTTTCTAGAGCAATATTGACGGCGTGAGACGCGATTTAGTCGGCAGTCACCTCCCCTTTCCACTAGTTTTCTCTCTCGGAATTTCGGACGCGTGTAGGAGGAGAGGTGGATCGGCTTCGCCTTCATGACCGAGATGGTCATTCCGGAATGACCCGTGACGTCATGGGCTTTGCGCGCAGAATATCAAAACAATTTCTCGCCACCAATACTGCTCTAAAAAATTTTATTTCACGTAAACTTAATTTTTTGTTTTGCGTGTCCCCAACCAGACTGTTTAAAAAAAATTTTTTTTTTTCTTTTCTGGGTCTTTTTAAAGGGGGGGGGGGGGGTCCACGTACCCCTTTTGATGAGGTCGCGCCCCTCGTTGACGAGGTCGACGGTCATGTCGTCGTCGCCCAGGAACTGCTCAAAGCCGAGCCAGTGCAGCAGGCGGGAGCCCACGTGCAGGTAGGTGGCCAGGCACAGCACGCATATCAGCATAGGGAAGTAGATGTTGAAGCCGTTGGCGATGATCGAGATCACGTCCATGTGGCCCATGATCTGCACGCGCGACCAAAAAAGTTAAAGGGGAGCTCAGGCCGTTGCTCGGGCCACCCAAACTACGGTGCCTGGGACGTGTCTTCGACTGGTGTTCCCCCGTGCATTGAAAACGGCCATTAAGTGGGAACTGGGCATAGAAGTTCTGGAAAAAAAGCACGAGGGAAAGCGAGTGATGGCGTCGTCGCAGCGTCCGAATTCTTTGCTGCGATGGGTCGGGTGTCTGCCACACGAACCGCCGGTGACGGGACACTGCCGGTGACGCGACACTTCTACGTCGGCGGCGGACAGAAATCGAGGGATCATTATTTTTGGCCATGGCAACTGCGGCGGTTGGAGGCTCGTACCGGGCACTGTATTCAAACTACCGCAAAATACCGGCTATGTGCTTACTCAAAAGTCAGAATTTAGAGATGATTGTGAAAACATTGGGGATGGGCGCTTGTCCGGTCATCAATTTTACATATAAATGCACCGTGCATATTTTTTCAAGTCTTGCAAATTCGGGAATGGGCACTTAATGTGGAATGGGCAGATGCGCAGTATTCTATGGTAAACATTTTTTAGGGAATGACAAGGCCTTATGCTTCCCGGCACGCCATTCATTATTTCTAAATTCAAAACAACTACCGAGAAAACAGCGAACAAGACGATGACGAAACCAACATTAAATATTTTTCCCGCATTCTGCAGCGTGGTGGCGTCGCACTTTGCGCAACTTGTAAGTAAGGCAGCCAGCCTTAACAGCGCAATATTTTGTGCAGGCTTTTTCGTTTTACTGGCGTGAGCCTTGACGGCATTCATTTCAGACCGTCAAGCTTCTTGTAACCCGTCCGGAACAAGCCACATTGCCCCCACGTTGCCCTATATTACATTTTACGTCACACTTTCACTGTTGCCAGCAGAGTCTTTCCACCTCTGCAACCAAACTTCAAAATTCAGTAACTTTGCAAAAAATTAAAAAAAAAAGTACTGTGGCTCGTAATCTGGGCTACCAGTTCAGATGTGCCTATTAACGCACTGAACCAAGTTTGAGGCAAATCGGCGACTGTCAACATTACGCTGGAGCACCCCTACTGGCGTCCGAGACGGGATTCCGGTTGTGGGAGATCAAAGGTTGTGCCTGTTATTGTACCGTAGCTCGGACCACGTCGAGCGATAGCTCGCGCCATAAAGGCCAGGGACCCTGAGCTTTATCCCTGTCCGTTTCAATCTGGACATGTGTCATACCGGTGTGCGTCCATACGATCACTACAGAATGGTGCACCTTAAACACCCCGAGCTAGCAGTCATACTCTGCTGGCTGAATCTCTCCAACTACAGCAGACGCTGGATGCACATTGGGGCTAGCCTGTTGCCACATAAGATCTGCCGTAGAAACTCTGCCTGCAACTCGAGCTTTCCATCTCCGAAACAGTTTAACGTACGCAGAAAGCACTACTGAAGCACAGTGGAAGTAGAGAGAGAGAGGCCTCTGAACATGGCCAGCACTGTCGGTTTGGGGCCTTCGCACAGGCACGGTCGCGTGCCATGTGGCCTTGTAAGCATGGGCGGGAATAAGAGGGGCGCCTTGACTGGCTCTCGTCGGCTCCTTGCATACTGCGCCATCTTGCGGCGTCTGTCAGAAGTGGAGGCTCAACTTTGCCGCACTTGCTCCGTAACAAGGCAGCACCGTTCAGACACCTCTCTCACCTTCCACCATGGACTAAAGGCAACGAGCCTGTGCCGGAGGCGGTGCTTTGCCTGCAGATGTTACGTCGCCAAAGACTACACAGTGGCGCATGGGTCGGCCTACGTTCGGAATCGAGTAATATTAGAGCAAATAGTCCACCTCGGTGTAAGCAGTCTCCATGCGCCCGGCCTCGCTGGTCACGTGGGTATCCAGGTGGATGAGACCCAGGAAGTTGAGGCACATCGGAGGGGTCAGCCGACAGAGCAGCCTGCAAGGAGCGCGCACAGTGGATGCAGCAACAAAAGTAAGCGACGCCCCACTACAGAGACTTCCAGCGTTGTCTTAAAGGGGTACTCCACCGATTTTTTGAGCTACCTCAACTAACTATATTTTCTGACTCCCCGGCCTTTACTCTCTCCGGTATGCTATTTAGAATCGCGAAATTCATACTAGGTAATGTGAAATCGGAAAATGAAAATGATGCAAAAACCAACATTCAAATATACGCGCACTTTTCAGTGCCGTGACGTCAGTGGCAGGCAGGCTTGCCAGTCGAGCAAGCAGCCAAAAAATAGAATATGCCAATCATTTGTTCCGTGCTGGAGCGCGGGTACTGCAGCGAGCTTTCCAAGCATTTATTTGACACCATGAAACTGCTTCGAATCAGTTTAAAACAAAATCTACAGCCCAAAGAGTGAACCCCTGCCTTCCACTGACGTCACTTCTTCATTGTTGCCAGTAGAGACTTCGAGCTTGAAAAACACGGTGAGGACCAAAACTATAAATTCAATAACTTCGCGAAAAAATATTTTGACCTAATATTTGGGATACTATTTTCGCGATGTTTGTTGGTTAGTTTAGCAAAATTTCAAGCAAATCGGAGACAATGAAAAAACCTGTGGATTACCCATTTAAGGCCAGATCACAAACTTCTGTTTAAGTGCGACCGACCACAATGTGCTCCCTTGCAATCGCTTACGTTGCCACTGATTTGTCAAGACCGTACTTGCCCCATGTTTAAGAGCGTCTCCGAGTGTACGCAAAAAAAAAAAATGGAAGCGTGGCAACAGGGGGTCCACTCACATGCCAGAGAAGATGAGGCTGTACTCGTCCGTCTGGTGCTGGGGCGCCAGATAGTAGTAGTTGAGCACACGAACCCGGAACACCGTGTAGTAGGCACACACGCACAGGTAGCCGATGGTGACAATGCTCATCAGCTGAAACACGTCGTGCCAACCGTAAGCCACATATCCCACAATGCCTTTTGGTTATCGCATCTTTTACAAACTATTTCCTTCCATTTCACCTGACTCAACCTCCACTCAAGACGTTGCATTCTTTAAACGTTTCGCTTCCCTCCAACACTGCAGTGTGGAAGCCGCCAAAATTTCTAATACAAACAGAACGCCTTTATGAGCCGATTTTCACGTCTCAGGCATCACGAAAAGTTGTTACGCAAACACGAAAACACGGCAAAGTCACATCGCCTAAATTTAGCGGGAAGGTTTTCCGTTAAATGTAGGTCATGTGATGATGTGTGATGCTATGCAACACTTTGTCATGTGATGTGGCTCAGTGAACTCTTGGTGTCCCATGGCACGGTGACGTGTCGCGGGACCCGGCGTCATGTGACACCACGGCATAACATCGTGGCTTCAGGGTGAAACTGACATCACAGTTATTGGATGTCACATGACACTGGATGTTACATGACACTGTGTAACATGGTTTTGTGACATCACATGATGTCCCGAAATCACACAACATCATAAAGTCACACGTCACAAAGTCCAATGACATTCCAAAATAGTAACATGACGTCCCAAAGTCATGCGACAATACAAAGGCACATGCTGTCCCAAAATCACACAACGTCCCAAAGTCGCACAACGTCACAGTCACATGATGACACAAAGTGACATGAAATCACAAAGTCCCACAATGCGAGTCACCAAAACCGTTCCACTCATTTTTGCACACAAGCTACTGACCAGCAACAAAGCAGAAACAAGAACGAAAGGCACGGTGTGCAACGTTGAAGAAGGACGAACCTCAATGGCGACGTAGTCGTGCGAGCTTTCGGCCGAGCGGTGGAAGACGCCAAAGAGGGTCAGGATGGGCTGGCGCACAAAGAAGGTCATCTCCGACCAGACCAGTGCCGCGCTCAGCAGGGCCAGCACGGCCCCCAGGATACGCAGAGACCAGCCGCGCACGCAGCACCGCCAGTACCATTCTGCCGTCGGGCACAAAAGGACGTGTGTCAGTCCCGACCTCCACGCAAGGGTGCGCAGAGTCCCCCCGCCCACTAAAGTGCCTGGACTGCGTCTCCGACTGGTGTGTTTACCTCGACCTCAAATGGGGTTCCTCGATTTCCTCCTGGTGACGTCGCAAAAGTGTCACACTATTGCTCGCTGCAATCCCGGCGATGTCGCAACAGCTGTAATGGTGGACGTTGCAGACGCCCATTCTGCTGCAGGTCAATCTCCAGTGTGGCAGCCCACGGAAGTTTTGGCAGCCAGAAGTTTAGACGCCGCGACAACGGCGACACTCGCGCGTGCTTCTATTTTCACTTGGAACTTTTACGCCCAACTGCCAGGGTTGAGATGTCCAACAACATGACACTCCGTGTCATGTTGCTGGACGTCGCAACCCTGGCAGTTCTCTGTGATGTCATTTGTTGCCACTTCGGTACCACTTTTAATGAATGGGTGGGATAGGACGCTAAACACGTCAGTCAGAAACGCACCCCATGCACCGTACCAGCACGAAGGAAAGGGCATCGCAGAGCTGCCTCAAATTCCGACTGCTTCAGCGAACCTTTGTCCGACTGGTTTAGCAAAACTTCAGACTGTTTACAAAATTCTACAATGGATAGATGGATGGATGCTAAAGGCTGTACCTTCTACAACAGGCGGTAGCTTGTTCCACCTAGCCTGGAAGTTCGAAGTTCTACTTATGGTCAGTGCTGTCCGACTTCTACACAAAAAATTTAATTTTGGGAAACAAATAAATTATAAAGTAGTTCATCTTATACTTTATAAAAACATTACCAATGTGTATGCAATATAAAAGCCATTGCACGCACTTTTGATGCTTTAGTTAATTACTGTGAAACAATGATACAATATACCCAATAAATATTATGCTTTCCCCAGTCAGGCAGCAAGTGTCGGCTCATTTTCGATCTCCGCGCATGCATGCTAAAGTTTAACTTCAGTCAAACTTTTGACAAGCTGTACACTAAGAGTTAGAAAGAGTCAAACCTGTCTAAACTTGAATCTTGGCAGATTTGGAGCATCCCTACATAGCACCCGCTTGTCCCAATTTCCCGACTACTTGGCACAAGAACGCCAAGAATCATACGAGATGTCAATGACGTCTTCGAGCATCGCGTATCGGGATCAGGATAAACATACGGGAGTGAAGTGTGACAAATCATCAAGCGCAAGATCGGTGGTCCCAAAACAATGTTGCGAGAAGGCAGCGTATACTTCAATTCCCGCCCAAAACCTAACTACCCTAGTCACCAAGGCCACTCCAAACCAGGGGGGGTAAAGACGGGAGCAGGACACGACAAATCAAAGCTGTTGGAGTGCTCGCTAACCCTATTTATTTTTTTACAATGCACCATGACGGTAGTTTTGTGTAAAATAAAGCTAGAAAAGCACTAGATACAGACCTCACAAGTGAGGGGGATTGGCGGCCGAGTATTAACACACCGCAGCTTGCAGCATGTGGTGCGAAAACACATGCCGCAGAACCTAGGGATCCTGGGTTCAATCCCCACCCCTGCCCGTTTCTATCTGGATGAGCATCGTACCGGCGTGGGGTCGTGTATAACTACAATGTGGTGAAGGTTACAGACCACAGGCTAGCAGTCGTACAGCACTGGCTAAATGTCTTATCTACAGCTGAGACACCAGACGCCTATTGAGGCTCACTAACTTCTGGCTATATAAACACACACACAACCCAATTACTTTTACCTTGCAAGTGATGTTTTCCCGCTTTGTGCATATCAAAGCATTTCAAACAATTTGGTTCTACCGTATACTGGGACCACCAAAGTCCTTGTCTATGCGCCACCATCCCGAAGCCGCCAAAATGCATAGGACTTATCCCTCTAGATAAATCGTATTGCCGCATGCATGGTCGAGAAAGAACGCTACTCCATACTTCTAGAAGATTCGCGGTTACTCTTACCCTGAAGGTCCGACGCTCGTGCTGAGGGTAATAGATAAGGAGCCCGGCGTGGCCTTGCCAAGTTGGAGACTCCGCACTGACCAGCTGTCACGCCAACACCTCAACGCTCGTCGCTGCTTTCTCCACGCCTGTTCTTTCTTTTGTTTCTGGCGCAAGTTCGCCGATTAAACCTTCATTTTTAGTTTTGCGTTTGTCCGTCCTTTCTCATCCGCGACAATATCAACTCTACGCTCCGAACGTGCTCACCGAGCGTAGGCGCACAGCCCGTCGGATGGTCGTGCGGCGCGGATCGCCGAAAACGCCGCTCGGGACTCTCCTCGTTCCGCGCCACGTCCTCCAGCGCCAGCGCCTTTTCCACCAGCGTCGTCCACTGGCACTGGGTGCGCCCGTGTTGCTGCAGTGCACGTATAACCTGCAAACAAGATCACCATTAATATTATTATTATTCATTACTCAAGCAGAAAAAAAAAAAAAAAAAAAAGATGCACGAGTAGAAGTAAGAAAGTGTCCGTCTCTTCGGTATACCCCAAAAGCACTCTAAATGTACAGCATTTAAAGGACACATGCAAAGGAAAAAAACATTTTTTTTAAACGACTTAGATGGAAAAAGGACGCCATAAAACGATTTTACAACGAAGAAAAAAAAATTTTGGAGCTATATTTACGGCGCAAAACGAATTTGTAGTTGGCGCCCGCGGGCACCGCGGAAAAGTGGTCTGTATTTATCACGTGACTGGTCTTTATTTATCACGTGGTGCTTGCGCTCTTTCGGAAGCTTCCTATGGCCTCTAAAAGTAACTTATTCATCTCTGTTTGAAGTATAACAAAAAACCAAGACGAATAAGTAACTTTTAGAGCCCAAAGGAAACTTCTGAAAAAGCGCAAGCAGACGTGATAGACCTGTGCGCCGGTCAGACGACGGCGGCGGCGCCCCGAAGCAGACGAACTTGTGCGGCGGCGGCGACGGCGGCGTGAAGAAACGCGTTGAAGCGGCGTTCGCACAACGCTCAGCGTGCGGCGGCGACGCAGCGCGGCGGCGCGCGGGCCTACCACGTGACCAGCAGCGGCTCCCGCGAGCGCCAACTACAAATTCGTATAGCGCCGTAAATATAGCTCTAAAAATTTTGTTTCTTCGTTGTAAAATCGTTTTATGACATCCTTTTTCCATCTAAGCTGTCTAAAAAAAATGTTTTTTTCCTTTGCATGTGTCCTTTAAGGATTACCAGCGACGTCATAGCGCCACGTAGCATCACGGTGTCATGCGACTGATGTTACATGGCTCGTGATGCCATGACGTCACAATGGTCACATGACCATTGCATTGTCATGGTGTGACATGGTCATGTGACGTTATGTCACATGACATCATGCTGTCATGTGGCATCAGTCTCGCGTGACACTGATGTTACATGGCATGTGACACCGTGACATTGCAATGGTCACGTGACCATTGTAACGTCAAGGTGTCACATGGTCACATGACGTTACGGTGTCACATGACATCATGCAACGACCGTGATGTTGATTACGCCACGTGAACACCGAGATGCTGTCATCGAGGCCACATGCCACGGACACAAAATACAAAGACTGCTAACGCGTAGGAATGCGAAAGCATTCGTATACGTAGTATATTCCTACAAGCTGCATGCCACACTGAGCCCGGCTGGACCTCTGCATAGGCTGTCCAGGCGGGTTCTGCGGCCGGTCACTCTGCAGAGCCCGGACACCCCACAGAGGGCTTCTCTGTGGGGTGGCATTTCCTGAAACTATGCCACGCACAGGCCAATGGGAATTTTTCATCAATTTGCTGCTACAGACTACAGGCTTCGCTCTATGGGACAGGGCAATTTAGGTGTCGTTTGGAGCGACTTCAACAGCTGATAACGCCCGTTCGCTCCAAGGGACCAGTTAATGCTTTCGCATTAAAACTCCAAGAGCTGGCCTTAGAAACGTGACGCAATTAAAATTCAGCTCTTTACCACATCATCGCGACAAATTCAGTTCTAACACAAAATGTATTGCACGTTGCTTCCAAGCGATGTCGCACGGAGCAACTTGGTACGCGTCTTGTGTCTCGGCGGCGCAAACGTCACCTTGCGTATCGATACAAAAGGAAGCGCTGCCAAGGCTGGTGCTTCAGCGAGAGTGGAACATGAAGTTCCTTGCAATCAGACCTTCGTGGAACGTGGAGTCTTGCGATCCGACCTTCGAGCCTGCTATTCCGCATCTCTTCGTTACCTCTGAAGTGCATGTTTGCTCTCTTCCCTCTCCTGAAGCTATCTCCCACCAAATGTCCTTCCACCTCCCAGATGACAGGGCCATAGTGCTCCCCGTTCTATGTCTCCAACTGGAAACCAGCACACCGACTGGACACGAGTTGTGCATCAGCGTTTGGCCGGGACTCGTGTCCGATCGGTGTCCGACCGATTTCTCCAAGGCGCTCTTCCGCGACAGGAAAGTGCCAGGAGCCAGCCACATAACACATTCTGTGTTGCAAGGGGAGAGCAAGACCATCTGCAACCTGCCCAAACTAAACAAACGTACTCACACCGAGGGCGACGTCTCGACGGTGTCTTACCTGCTGGTGTAGACGCACCAGGCTCTTCTCGGTGACGGCGGCACCCGAAAGGGCATCGATCTCCGGGTGGGCACGATGACGGCCCCTACCGTTGCCTTTGGCGCCAGTACTGCTCGGAACCTGCAACCATTCTTGAAAGCTGATCACCTTGAATGCGACCGTGCACCCTTCCAAAGCGTTCGGCAAATGCAAAGAGGAAGAGGCAAGTAATTGGGGTTCTCTAAAGAGATTGAACAATTAAATTGCGGCCAAAATGGGCCATGTTGCAGGTACAGAGTGGGTAAAAGAAGAACTAGTATGCAAATAACCTGTTGAATCGCAAACACAACTAAAACCTCAGACAAAGAAAGGAGATAGTCTGCACACATCTTTTCTAAGTGTCTTTCTCCTTTGCGTTTTACAACCGTAATATCCAGGAAGATAGTCCACCTAACGTTGAGAGCAAATCGAGTTAAAATAAAAAGTGGGCTAGCACGGCATGCAATCGAGAGATGAAAAAAACAGAATGCTAATTTTAGATCATGTGACTTGCCAAACTTGTTATCTTAGTAGGGGCAATGAAGAAAACATGACTATCTTAGTGCTATCTTTGGACTATTTTTTTTTTTAAAGCAAATCATGCCAAGATAGGGGTGGGTTACCGTTTGGGGATATTGTGGTAGTTGTATTTACAGACAGGGTGCAGGCATTCCCGTTTATTTGTATAATGAGTTTGTGTCCCCTCACTGCTGTTTTGCACAAAGATAGCTACCCTTAAAAAACATCTGCAAAGAAAAACAGTTTTTTTTGAAGAGCCTGGATGGAAAAAGGACGTCCTAAAATAAATTTACAACACAAAAAAAAAACAATTTGAGAGGTACCATATTTACTCGATTCTAGGCCGACCCCCCAAAACGGCAAGGCCGAAAAATAATAACCGTATCTCCACGTGGTGAATGATGTTGATTGGGGCGAAGCTCTGGTGGTGCTTGTCTGCGTAGACGCTGAGCCGCGGCATGCCGAGCCTTTCATTCGTTTTCATCCATGTCAGAAAGAGAATGCGTGGTATGGAACGTGGTTATATACGCATTTGAGCATTTGACCGCAGCGCCCTCTCGTCTATAAACGTTGAGCCAATACATGCAAAGTTTAACGCAATTATATACGCATTTGATTGCAGCACCCTCTCCTGTATAGACGTTGAGCGGCTACATGCAACGTTTCATCCATGACATCCCCAGCTCTTGAGTTACTACCACATCTCAGAGCCCCCTACTCATCCCGCAGTCGTGGCCAAGTGGTTAAGGCGATGGTCTAGAAATCCATTGGGGTCTCCCCGCACAGGTTTGAATCCCGTCGACTGTGCAAACATTTTTTTTCATCATTTTTTTATTTCTTTGCCCTACACGAGCACGAGCACCAGCAAATTCGATGTGAGCACGGATGCTGGACGGACAAGGCTAGACCCTAAGGAGCTTCGCCCCAAAAAATAAAAATCCTTGATTCTAGGCCGATCAGAAAGAAACGGTAGAACACCATAAATTAAACACAGAACGGCATTTATTTCTGATATAGTACAATACTAGATCGGCCACGAAGCCGACGGGGGTGTCAGCGGTTTATGTCTGAGTTTTCAAATAACAGGAAGTATTCGTTGACCACGTTTCCCCCTCCGCTACAAAGAAGCCGCTACTGAGCCTGCACGCCGATGGCCTTGACTATACAGTTCCGGTTATCGTAGCGGGTTGCGGAGAGCGTAGCGGGACGGCGAAAACGATCTGCGAAAACTCCCTAAAGACGCGAGCAACGCCGCCAGTCGCCGTAAACAACAAACAAAACTTCTTTTTTTTTTGTGTGTGTGTGCGCGTTTGCAAAGGAGAGAAGGGAGGTGGCAAGGAGCAAGGAGCATGGCTGGCATGGCACATAAAGTCCTTCTCCCTCCCTTTCCCCCCTTGCGTAGCGAGGGGCATGCGGAAGCTGCGCGGCAGCGGAGTCACGAAACCCGGCGCCCGAGGTATGCACGCAAGTGGCAGCCACGGCGGGGGGGGGGGGGCCTGCTGCTGTTTTGGTTGCCTTTCGTGCACCAAAAACTTTCTGAAACGTGAAGCGGCGCGATTCTACGGCGACGAATACGGCAGTTTCGGTTTCGGTAGCTAGCACAACCGCGAAGTGGTGTAGGCAGGAACCGCATCCTCGTTTCTCGGCTGACCCCCAAGTTACGATTTTAATTTTTTTATAAAAACTATCGGCCTAGATTTGAATGAATACGGTATATTTTTGGCGTGAAACGAATTTGCAGTTGGTGCCTGCGGGAGGCCGCGGAAGAGTGGCTGCTATAGTCACGTGACTGGCCGCTATAGTCACGTGACTGGACGCTATAGTCACGTGGTGCTTGCACTCTTTTGGGAGCTTCCTATGGGCTCTAGAAGTTGCTTATTTATCTTGGTTTTAAGTGCAACAAAAAGACAAAGATTAATAAGTAACTTTTAGAGCCCATAGGAAGCTCCCGAAAGAGCACAAGGACCACGTGATAGACCCGTGCACCAATCAGAAATCGATGGCGGCGTTGGCCAGTGTTCCCTTCCGGCGGCGGCATGGAGAAACGCGTACAGCCATCAGCACGCCACGCTCAGCGTGCGGCGGCGGCGGCGCGGGGGTTCTGTGGACTTTACCAGCGGCGCTGACCGGCTCCGGCGTAACTTGCAGTGGCGGCAGCGCAACATGGCGGTGTACAGGTCTACCTGTACAGGACTATCGTTCGTTGCAACTCAGGAAGGTAGGGCGAGGAAAAGGAAGGCCGGGGAGGAGGAAGCAGACAGAATGCTGGAGAGAGGAGGAGGTTTCCCCTTCTCCTCTCCAGCGTTCCGTCTGCTTCTTCCTCCCCAGCCTTCCTTTTCCCTCGCCCTACCCTCTTCAGCTGCAACTTACTATAGGGGCGGCTCCCGCAGGTGCCACTTACAAATTCGTTTCGCACTGTAAGTGTACCTAGCTCTTAAAAAAAAATGTTTCGTTGTAAATTTATTTTATGATATCGCTTTCCCATCCAGGCAGTTTAAAAAAAAAAAATCTCCTTTGCATATGTTTTTTATTGCACATGGTTTTTGACGTTTCTTCCAGTCCCAGTTAAGCATCACGGACAAAGTCTGTTACCTTAGACAGAATGACCTCCAGGTGTTTCCGCAGGGGGTGTTGGTGCGTCACACTTCCAGCAGCCAGCTGCACTTCCTGCACAGGACAAAATTCACACGCTACTTAGCGGCACTGTGCAACGCTTTCCTCACAACCATGCTGCATGTGATTAAACAATGGCCACTCGTCTGTAATAGCTAGTTTTCTTACTTTCGTATGGCACATCTTTCAAAACCTAAAAACAAGCCTTTACAAAAAAAACTAGTCCAAAAACAAAGATATTCCAGTGTTGTGCGAATATTCAAAATTTCGAATCGTAGTTTCGAATAATACAATATTCTATACTCGCTTCGAGATGAACTGCTACAGTGTAGACCGCATATAACGTATGTCGCGGTAGTCGCGAAAATTCACACAATAAGCGGTACCGCACTATAACCAAAACATCAATTTTTCAGGCCAAAATGCATGCCATCAGACTACTTACCTGACTTACCTTAGTAAAAGAATTTATTTTATGTTAGATGAAAAATAAAGCTTTAGTTTGAGGAAAGTCTTTATTTCACCAGACTAGTACACTTCTCTCTCAAGTGTGTCACACATTTTGAAAGAAATGAGCGACTTTTGCCTGGCGCAGCCTTTTGACGGCGTCGCGGTTGCGGACGGACGTTGCGAGCGTTCAGGATTGCTAACCCTAATCACTTTTCTCCGGCAATGAAAACGCGTGAAAATTCGCATCCTTTATACGGTACGTGCCAGTAATACCTTCAACTTGAGCACAGGCATGAAATGCTCCAAATAAGAAATCCGGGCGATGTTCGAAAACACAAATGCTTAGAAAGCACCACTGTAGTCGAAGTAAACAAACACAACGACACGGGCGTTTCTGTTGTCTTGAGAGTGCCGCCACAACATCGCCGCACGAGTAGGTGGATCTTCCCTTCTAGTACGTGCTGGGTTATCATAGCGGCACGCAACGAAAATTCACAGCCAAGGATAGCGCTTTTACGCGGAACCAGTGCACGGAACGATGAGCTTCTACGCCGTCTACGTCGACGATCAAAACCGACGCCATGTTCGCGGATAGAAGCAGCCGGCCCGCGACAGACATGCAACGCGCGCGAACACTTCTCCTCGACCTGCGATTGGTCTGTCGTTGCGGTTGTTTTCCAACGCAGCGGAGGGACGCATGCACGTGAACGACACATGCGTGCGTCCCTCCGTCGCTATAGCAACTGAAGCCTCTCTCTTCGCTTCTCCCCGCTTCTTCGAGCAACCTCCTTGCCCTGCCAGTGCCGCTTGTGGCTCGCGCCGTTATCTAGTGTCGCACAGGGAAGCGTGCTCTCTGCGTCAGTCAGTCGGCGCGGTCGCCGGGCTGTTCCGAAAACCACACTATAACCGGTATTTCCCTTCGCGCGCCTGCATTTTAAGCGGTATGTAATTACATAGAGTTCTATGGGAGGCGAACCTGCTATTTAAAAAAGCCGCATTACACCCGGTCCTGCACTATAAGCAGTTACGTTGTAAGTGGTCTATACTGTATATTAATATTTTTTTAAGTTTTCATCGTGGTGGTTAGCCTCTGAGTGCCCTTTCTACCGAGCACGGGTGCACTGTGGAGAAGCAACACCCGCGGAAGCGAGCTCCTAGGGTGTTGCTTCTCCACAGTGCACCGGTGCTCGGTAAGAAACGCACTCAACGGGGTAACCCGCCGCAATCAACACTTGGAAAGGTATGAACGCAATTCACCATTTGCACATGACTACCGTAAAATGCCGCGGCAGTGCCCTCTTTGTTCCAGTGCTTGCCATTAATGTTTTCCAAACTTGGGAATTCAGAAAATTATATGTTGAGCGCCCAATTAGGCCGGACAAGCGCCCATGTCTAGATCAACCCAGGTTTCAGTGAAAGTGGCGTGGGTACTCTCCGTATTTTACGGTATATATAACTAAAAGATCTACTTTTGTTGCAGTGAACCACTACATAAATCAAATAAACTTTATGCGAAATCCGAGACTTTTTCTCAGCGTACATTAAGTGTCGGTACTGAACCCGTCAGGAAGCAAGTGCAACCAAGTAAAAGTATGCAGGTAAAGCTTTTGCTCCACCGATTCCCTGCAGCATATCCACACACCAAAAAAAAGCTCACTTGTGGCATGGAAGGGACGTCTCTGCCAATGCCTGGTGGAATCGTGTAATACCCAGCTTCGCCTCAAAACAAACAGCGGCCAATGCTACGAGTCATCAAAGCCAATCCAAAACCGAGAACGTGCCATGCGACCTTCCAGTGAGGTGTAGCAATGCCCGAGGCCACATGACGCACCTTCAGGGTCGGATTCGCTCTGAACCCGCTGCAGTTTATTTTAAGTTTAAACAAAGTATAGTAGTTTCCTCGTCCAAGAGGCATGCCCTGTCCTTCAGTCATGTGTTGGCATACAGCCTTAGCTCGAGTGCAGCCGCAAGTGGAGTATAGCTGTAGCTGGAGCGTAGCCATAGACCGGAACGCACCTCGAGGACGTCGTCCAGCTTGTCCTGTGCCTCGGACTTCTCCAGGCTGAGCTTGGAGGCCTTGAAGTAGGCGTAGCGCAGGGAATGGCCCCGATGCCCTGCGTTCCAGCAGCTCCGGGGGACCTCCACCAGGCCGTAGCCCAGCAGCAGCACTAGCAGGAACAGGCCCCATGTGTTGCTCGCGGTGATGCAGATCACCTTCAGCTTGCCCCTGGCAGTAGACGAGGGGGCTGCCGTCAGCACAGTCTTTGGTGGCTCTCCGTGCATAGTGCACTCGGGGCAGTACCTAGAGTGCTAAGTTAGCACTGCCGTGTGTGTGTATGATCGGGTCTTAATATACGCAAAATCAGTGCCACATCAGCAAGGTCAGTTCCATTTCTAGCGCTGCCTAATAGCAATAAGATGGCGCTGTAACATGTGTGAACAGGCCATTACGAAGAGACCCAAAAGGTCGTTGCTTATCGGGTTAGTCTGGTAAAGTGAGCAAAGAACAAAGTTTGCCTGCTACAAAGCAACGTTTGCCAATAAAAATAAAACAAGAAAACACATTTGAATCACCTGCTAACAAAGCCGAAAAAAGCTGGTCGTCTGCTGCGAACTGAGGGCTGTGGGGAAGTCGTACCGGACGGAAGCTAAAATTATGGTCTTCGGCTATTTCACATTGGAAGCAATCAATGACACGTGCCAGCTTTGCAAATTTCAAGTTGTTCCGCTGCTGTAGACGAGCTGAAGTCCACCAGTGAACAAAGGAGCACTCGAAGCAAGCACATCAAAGCCCACGTAATCTCTCTCATCGCCCGTGTGTTGGCGAGAGGTTCTCCACAAGATACTGTCCAATCGTGGACCAGCAAATGGGTCAAATATTTCTTACTGGTCTACAATGCTTGCCCAGCACAGTCGTGACAGCACGTCCAATGGGCAGCGGAGAAAGCTCTTGCTCTCACCCGGGACCAAAATTAGAATCGCAGGGGTCCGACTTTGGTTCAGGCGAGAGCAAAAGCGTTCTCGGCTGCCGATTGGACATGGTGCCACAGCTTGCGCATAATCAACCAATGTGATGTTTCTGACCCGTTCGCAAGTTCACAATCGGACAACATTTTGGTGAGAACGTCTCACCAACACGCAAATAGCGAGAGAAGTCCCGCAACCTCTGATGTGCTTGTCCTTCATACTACCTCATTCAGAGGACTGTGTCAGCCGGTGAACAGCAGCAGAACTACTTGAGATTTGAAAACAAAGCACAAGTTGTCAATGGCTTCCAACATAAAAAAGCGGACAATTACTATTTCAGCTCGAGTCCAATCTCACTTTGCCGCAGCGCTCAATTCGTAGCAGATTATCAACTTTTTTACGGTCTGCTAGCAGACAACGTACAATGTTTGTCACTTTATTTCCTTCTGCAAATGGTGCTTCGTAGCTGACGCATTGCATTCTTCGCTCGCCTCAGCAGACAAACCGTCTATGAATGCCATCTCCGCTCGCTCCGCGAGAGGCAAATTAGTTTTTGCTCATGCGGCGACCAAAATCGGACCTAAAAGAAACCGGGCGGCCACTCACGCATCCAGGCTAATGCCCGGCTGGAGGGCCACGTAGACGAGTAAAACCCCAAAAATGAGGAGGTAGCTGCCGTAGTAGATGGCGTTCTCGATGAGCGCCCTCTTCAGCTTGCCCATCACCGTGAACTCTCCCGCCGTCGAGTAGGACTGCATGAGGGGCAGGATGATCCTGCGGAGCCACACGCACACAAGAGCCGGATTTAGAAACGCTTGCTCGGGCGGTGTCATCAGAATGCCGCATTTGACATTCAAACCACCGTCTGCCAAAGACAAGTTACAGTGACACGAGCGGAACAAGCTTTCAAACTTAGCCTTTCCTTTTCTTAACATTCGCTTTGATGTCTGGGCTTGCCTTCAAATAGGTTTTGTATGACTAGAGTAGAACCTCTTTGATATGTTCCTCGGGGGACAGCGGGGAAAAAATGTGAAATTCGGGAAAACATGAAAAACAAGAAGGACCCCAAGGGCTGGGAGCTCAGCGGGACCGGAGGCTTTGAATGTAAAGGCAGGGAAAATGTAAAAACCAGGAACATATCAACAAGGTTCCACTGTATGTCTACCCCACCCATCAAACAGGGTTACAACTGGAGTTCCATGTTTTCAGTATGTACAGATAAACTCAGAAAATTGATCCCTGAGCCAGTTTTATCAAAAGTGTGAAAAACCAAAAAAAAAAAAAAAACGAATTGGAGCAGTCTTGAAATAGGAAAGGCTAGTCATGTGCAAATAGTGGACTTTGAGTTTAAAGCAAATTCGAAGCGACTACCGTAAAATACCGGGCAAGCGCCCACTCAAAATTTTGAGATAGTAATGAAAAAATTGGGGATGGGCGCTTGTCCGGTCATCAATTCTACATATAAATGTACTGTGCACATTTTCTCAGATCTTACAAATTTGGGTATGGGCACTTATTGTGGTATGGGTGGATGCACGGTATTCTACGGTAGTGGTTTTGGCCGAATATTTTTAGATTGAATATCAAATATTTTCTTCGAGCCTTTCACTACTGCACCATGCTTAAATGAAAACCAAGCTGAACTCGCAAAGATTGCTCCTGAGCTTCCACTTGTTCACTTCTAAGCTCAGTTAACTTTAATATAACTTTATCGATAAACTGTAGTATGTAAACAACAAATTTGTGGCACCTATCCCAATCGAGGGGACCTATAAATCTGCTCGCTATACGTAAATATTTTCCCTTCAATTTCAATATGCCAAAAAAAAGAAACAGGCACGAATGATGACAAAGTTGAGACTTGGGCGAGTTGGTACACACTTTGGAATAAAAGACAGCGCGGAAAGACGAGGACCAGACAAAGAAGTGACACGGCTACGTCCGTGTCACTTCTTTGCCTGGTCCTCGTCTTTCCGCGCTGTTTTTAATTCCGACGAATGATGAACATGATTTCTCAAGACAACGCTGCCTAAGATATACTCTCGCATAATCGCAGCCACCTAGCCCCCCGTTGAGTGCGCTTTTCCCCGAGCACCCGTGCACTGCAAAGAAGCAATGCCCGCGAAGTCCACGAGTGTTGCTCCCTTGCAGAGCACAAGCGATTGGTGAGAAGCGCACTCAAAGGGGCTAACCCACCGCGACCAACACTTCGAAAAGTAAGAATACCACAGTTCATCTCGAAGCAAATATTGAATAACGTATTATTCGAAACTGCTATTAGAAAATTCTAACATTCGCACAACCCTAGAAAAAAAATAACCTTCGCAAAAAGAACTTGTTATTTAAAGCTTTGTTTTGCTTTCACCCAGAATACAGCCCCCACCGAACTACGGTGAGTCTGTTTCGTTGTTTGGGAACCACGACCCCTAACCCCTTTCCTTCTCTCGTCGGGGCATTTTCTAAGCATTTGTGTCATGTGCATGTTCCACGGAGGTTGGGGACCGTGTCTTGTCTTCTTTACCATTGATTTCCTGTACAACACCGAAAATCGACACCAAAAGGACATTTGATCCAAAGAAAAAATACCCCCCCCCCTAGAACAAAAGCCCCAGAAATCCAAGAAAAATAAACGCCAAAAACAAGGAAACCTTGTCATGAGCTCACTGCTAGGTTATGTCCCGACTGTAACTACCACTGCACGCCAAGTATGCAGCCGCTCGTTCCTAGAGGCCCGTATCGGGAAGGAGCTCCTCCGACACCCCCGTGCAAGAGCCCAGACCCAGCTGGCACTCACCAAGTAAGGGCTTGTGAGGTCCAATAGACGACCCTCCAGAGGCTTTGGAGCACGCCCTCGGGGACAAAGCTCCATGGCGCATGGCACCCGTCTGTGCCAGAGTACGACAGCGAGCCATTGCAACATGTACACCCTCTATGAGGCACTAAAGCACCCTCAACCTCTCCAACTGAAAGTGGGGTCATATCTAGGGTGACCAGACGTCCCGTTTTGGCCGGGACAGTCCCGTTTTTGAGGTCCACTTTTGCCGTCCCGTCTTTTTGTCCCAATAAAAAACCATGTCCCGTTTTCGCAGGAGTGCATAGTTTTGAAATTGCCACCGAGCGGGTTGAAGCAAACCGGAACTATGCCTACTCGTTACAAGTATACCGTAATATCCCGAGCCATCGCCCATCCCCGAGCCATCGCCCACCCCATTTTTTGGGCCAATATCGATTTCCGATAAAACACCGAGTCATCGCCCACCCCTTCAAATACCCCAGCGCGGACTCTGCGATCCGCGAACACTCATCCTACCCGAATGACGCAGCCGCGGACCTTACAGTTCGAGGACGTCCGTGACAAAGTAAAACAAAGGAGGGAAAGACACTTCTTTTTGTTTACCTCCGTGAGCGACCCCAAAGTGGTCGTGTATCCGTGCGAAAAGAAAACGATGGAGATAACAAAATAAGAGTTTGTTAATGTAATCGCGGAGTGTTAGGTCAAAGTCTGTCTCCGCCGAAATAAGGTCACCGCGAACCCGCTCCTTCTTCCCGCCCGTCGCGACCGCGGTTGTGCAATATTTTAGGCAAAGCCAACGCGTAAATAAAGCTTTGCTGGAACGCCCTACACAGACGTTTGCAGAGCGTCCCAACCGTGCATTGATAGCCCGCCGGGCACGGACGCACGTATGTACGCACCAAACAAGAAAGTTGCGCAAGAGCTTGCAATTGACAAGGCGCCCGACTTGGCCCGACGCCAAAGTATTTGCCAACGCGACCGCCGGCTTTCCCGCTTTCCCAGCATTGCTCTTGGTCGCTTCTTTGGTCCGCTCGCTCGCTTGCTCGTTGCGCCTGGTCGGTTTTTCTATTTTCTTGTAGACTTTTCTTTCTTTTTTTTTTTTTACTAACTAGGAGAACATAGTGGTGACATTCTTTCACGGAACAAACGTTCGCGCTATATGCAGATCGGCGGTGTTTCTAGCGCGTATGCAAGCAACGGACTTCGCTATAGTAAAATATTCTTTCGTGAGCATTTTTTTGTATAAAACAATGAAACTAAATCGAGTTTTGAGTTTGATGTATCGCTTGTTCATCAGCGCTAGATACGCAGAGAAAAATAGGCGGTTTTTTCCGCTTTTTTTAAGTGTTTGTGCTCACCCACCGAGACATGGCCCACCCCACTTTTTTAATGAATTTCAGGTGGTAGGGGGGTGGGCGATGACTCGGGATATTACGGTAGTTTACAAAAATTACCGTAGCTACTTTAAAACATTTATCCAGAGAGTCAAATTTAGAACTGTTCTTGCCCACAAACACCTTCCAAATGGGTGCATGGAAATGAAATGTGAGTGTGACTGTTCCAGGGTGCAATATGGCAAAGTTTTGAAATAGGACCAGTTATTCAAACAAGTTTGTTCTCCCAATCTCAATATTTAGTGCACGCCCCTCTCTCTTCCCCCCGCTGGGATGTCCCGTTTTCTACCTTGAGGAATATGGTCACCCTAGTCATATCGGAATTAAGAGAAAATGACAGATAATTGGCATACCCCGTTGGGATGTTAGCCGTAAGTGTTACACTGCCTCTCATCCCCAACTACTTTGGAAAAATTTTCTTCCCGTTTTTACAAAGCCCACATCCAAAACCATTTGCAGCAACAATGATCATGTTCCAAACTTGCATAGAATGGGAGTCACTTATAAATTTACAGAGGAAAGACTAAACACATACGATGGAGCACAGAAGACGACATCGCTCAACAAGCAACAAACAGCAATGAAAAAAAAAAACATCCCTCAAAGGCGTCAGGAAATCTTGAAGGAAAGGGCAAAGTCAGAAGGGGAAAGGGATGGAAATAAAATATCTGATTTCAGTGTTTTTCCAATCAGATTCAAATCTCATTTTCCAAATACAGAAATCATGTATTTTATTTTCAACTCTTTTCACTTCTCACGTTTCTCTTTCCTTCAAGAATTTTTATCCTTCTCTCTGTGCTCCGTCCCATGTGTTTATTCTTTCATGTGTAACCTTACCAACACACTCAGTTTTTAATAATCACATATTCAGTACCCCTCAGTATTTTTAAGCTACTTGACCGACCAATAGCAGTTGCAAGACACAAAATTTAGTAATAGTACTTCACACGTCCATTGAAGAAAGCAAAGGCATCAAGGGTATGTAACAACTGTCTGTGACTCACCCCAACTTCCTTCTGTATCAAGTACTTCCTCAACAACCTCCTCTTTTCTTTGTGGTTAAAGTTTGTTTCTAACGCCTGACAACCAGTTAGGGTTGGCAATGCAGCCAAGCAATGCAGCCAAGCAATGCAGCCTATTGTTAAAAAAGGAGACGACACACTATAACCCAACAAAATGTCCCTAAATGATCTTAAGGGGAGACATAAACCTAAATTTTTTATTTTTTGGAAAAAATTCATTTTTTGATTTTGACGTTTTCAGTTTTGGAAACTAATTATACACCCTTACACCAAATTTGATAACCATATGCCAGATATTTGAGTTGATATAAAATATTTTCAACACGTTGTGAGGCAGTAAAAAAGTAGAGGAGTTCGATGTTTAAATGCATTTTTCTCAGTTCCACTTTTTGCTGCAAATTTCATACGAAGGAATCTTTTGTTCAATGGTGAAAGTATTCTGACACCACAATCAACATGTTTCTGAACTGAAATTTACTGGGGAATCGGGCTCGGGCTATGTACTTTATTTTGTTTTAAGTTGAAGCCCTCAGTGATAAAAAAACTAAGTTTTTTAAAATTCACATAGGACAGATGTGCATTTCATATTTTGAGGTAATAACTCTTCCTGAAATATTTACATTTAAGTTATTAAAACTAGACAGCCCGAGGTCCCATATTCCCCACTTTATATTCAAGCACTCAAAACAGTGCTTAATAGCTTCATTTGCATAGATTTCTTAATGAAGAGTGACACATCATCTTATGCAGGTATGTAAATTTGCCCTAGAGAGCTGAAAGTTTGCACAGTACACCTACATCTGAAGCTAAACCTCCCCTGCGAAATTTCGTTCCGATCACTTCAGTAGTTAAGAAGTTCGACCTCTAGCCAGTGTCCCCCCTTAAAAGGTTGTCTGGCATGGCAAGCCTGACTCACCTGGTAATGGAATGGCTGGTGGGACCGTGACGTTGCCAGTGGTGTCATTTTCCACCCAGGGAAGGTGGTGATTGCTGCTGTGAGACTCGCTGTCGTGCAGGCACTGCCTGAATGCCGTCTGGAAAGACAATGACAGCAAAAAGTCAGCACGGAATACAAAGCGTGCGTGCCAACCTTTCAAATTAAGCTAAGAACACTACTGAAGCCTATCGTCAATCGGGTGCAAAGTCGGGTCAAATCAGAAGAGCTTCCGTTGCTCGATACACACTAAAAAGCAAAGTGATAGCTATCCCCCTGGCCCGAATGATTTCTGCTCCGAGCATAGCAGCTTTTAAAAACTCAAGAATATGAGCGGCACAAGTTCCTGCCAAATAGATGCATTTTAGTGCCAACAACGATTCAATTCTCTCAATTTGCATGTCGTTATAGCAAACACTTGTTGGAACAACTGTTGGTTATTGCACCTGTACTGCCTAAGTATCCCAGATAAACCTATCCTTGGCTAGCAGTTCCACAAACAGAACTGCCCGCTGAACAGCTCACAGAGCTTATGTAAATCACACTTCACAATACGTGGCTTGCATCGACACCATGTCATCAGCCCTTGTGATGGCTCTGCTGCTGAGAGCTTCTCAAGCATCAATTTTGTACCACCAAATTTGTTTTTTTTTGCAAGAATTAGAAATGACCCCTAACATGACACCACGTGTAAGCAACAACTGTATTCCTTCACTCCCACCCCCAAAGGGACACTACTAAAAGTAAAAATAAAATATACTTCTCAAAATCTGCTAATGACAATCGCACGTTTGTACTTTAAACGGATGGCTATATTTTTCGTTCTAAACGGCATATTCCAGCGAGCGCTCCAAGAGCAGCCGTCGGAAAGCGCGATGCGTCTAGGAAGATTCGCTGCCTCCAGAGCGTTTGTGACGCCATGTTTAACTCCACGGGCAAGACTGCGGCGAGGCTGGCGTGGTTGTGAGCTTCGCCACTTGGCGACGTCGACGCGTTACAACCTGACCATTCGACATGCCCACTCCCCGCAGGGGTTGAATAGGTGTGGGGGAAAAGGAAAATCCAGTTCGGCTACACTGTGGGTGCCATGGTTCGGCCAAGTTTGGCAGCCTACGTGCTCGGAGCTCGGTGCCGTACTTTCAGGTAGCAACGCTGCCTTTATGGAAAGTTTGATGTACGACAATCGGGAACATTTACTGGGTGCAATCTTGTAATAAATTTTTTCGTTTTAGATAACTTGTTGGTGTCTTTTCGAACAAAACATTGGTGCCTCTGTGGTGTGGCCAAAACAGAGTTGAAATTTAGGCAATAAAATAGGAGCTAGAATTTTGTTAAAGCACCCCTTAAGGCCCGTTTGCGCACTCGCGTTTGCTTAGGACCAAGTTCTTGTGATCTCTTACGATGGGAGAACTCACTGTCATGCTGGCGCCATCTATGAAATGACCCTGGAACTGCAATTCACTAGAGGGAAGGTTTTGCGATATTTGCGAGATCAAATGTACATACTATCTGCGAGAAATGGTTGTTTATAACATTGTCAAATGCATTTCAAGCTAAAAAAGAAAGAGTGATGAGCAGAAAAACAAGGTAAGAGTTCTACGGCTACCCAATATACGGCGGCACTGTGTTCTCTTGTTGCGAAAGATACTAAAATGTATTAAAGCACACCGCTATAAGCAGTCGCAAGTTTGTGAATCGGCCCTTAATGCACGACTGGAGCTCCGTCAATCTCAACAGGCACTTTAGTTCTGTACTATAAACATTACAGCCACTCTGGCTTGGGCCACAATATTGGCTCGCGGCATTATGAAAATAAAATATAAGATAGACTCCTTACCGTGGAGACATCCAGCGGAAGGATGAAGATGATGATGAATGAGAAGTACCAGGCGACAAACACGCTCACGGTCACCAGCAGGTGGTGCTGGGCGAAGTTGCCATACCGGTGGAGCAGGAAGGCGGCGAGCACGAACGTGAAGCAGATCTCGGACACCAGAGGGCCCACCGTCATGGCTGCTCTGCACACCGTTCATTCCCTGTTCAGTTGGCAACCACACTCACTCGCAAGCCCAACACGGCGAAACAAGGATGGCTCAAGGCACTCATTTTAACGGTGACGTTACAGTGAATGGAAAGCGTCTTCGACCAGTGAATTTGGCCTTCTATCCTGCCCATATGTCAAAAGGGGTTTTCAAGTGGCACTCTTGTTGCGAGGTCCCAAGTCCTGTCTGCCAAAGCTTACGTGGACTGTAGGGCTAAAGAGCTACCTGCAGCAGAGTCTCCCACATCTGCCAGGACTGCCGTGGCGCTACCAGGATCGTGGCTGGCGGCAACAGGACGCTACCACAATGTCCTTGAGCAGAAATCGAGGGACTATATTTTAGCGTGCGATACACACGCACAGTTGGAGACGCGTTTCAGGCACCGTAAAGATGTGGTGCCCAAACACCAAAGTATCTGTGCGACTGTGTCTGGCAACCCATTGTCTATTTTTTAAAAAATCTTTTTTTTTTTTTTTTTTTTTTTTTTTGTGGGACACTTTGAACATAGTAGTCGTTCGCTGGTGTCACTACAGTCTTTACGGTGACAACTATGACTATTAAGTACCTAATGGACCTATATTCACAAAGGGTAAATCACAATCGATTATCATGTTTCAAGTAGATCCAAACCTTTTATTGTAGCTCGAACAGTTTGGTTGCTGCAAGTCCTTAGGAAGTTTAAGTCTGAATTTTATTAGCTTTTTCAAGAGCCAAGTTTGACAACTCTAAGCTGCGCATAAATGTGAGTTCTGTATGCTCAAAATGTTGTAGATAGGGACATAAGAAACGAGTGTGAATGCCTCATCGTAAAGAATGCCTTTAGACGATGTTTTAAAGTTAGCGTAAGCCATGTTACGGGCTGGAGACCTGTCAAACAGTTTCAGCTTTCGACGTGCATAGATATTTACATGTGGCGAACCTCATTAAACTTTTTATAAAAGAAAAAAAGAAATGCACGTGATTTCGTCGTATAACACCCGAGACTGTGGTGGAAGAAATTGAAAACTTTTTAGTAGAAGGAGTTATATGCTATAAGTCACAGGTGTTATACAACATGATTAGCTATCACGCTCGCCTGCACACCCACTGTCTTTTGCACATGATTTGTCGGGAAAAGTCAAGCATTAATCAATGGAGATGCAGAAGGGGATACAGTTCATTCGGGCTCATTTTAAACAATTTCTAGTTCATATTAATCACAAGGAGGATCATAACCTCACTCCCGAGTCTATGCCATGACAATGTCTCGGCATGAAAGTTCGGTCATCGCTTAATGTAAGGTGCCCCACTAGCATCTCCAGTCATCAAATACAAGATTAATCGAGCCCATGTGTCGTCGTACCGGAGGTGGACAAACAATTGACAGTGTTCCACTAATACCAAACATCGGGTCAAGCTATGACAAACGCTAACGAAGGTTCCACTCATAAATTCGAAATGGTGTCAGCCGGCTATAGCTTCACCGACACCAAGCAGAACCACACTGAGCTTGATACTACACAAGTATCGCGTCGGCGGTAGAGTGATCCGTAGTTCGAGTCGCACCCAACATTGAGCGAAGTCACCGGCGCAGTTCATCGATTCGACTCCACGGTGCATCGTTGTAACAAACTCTCTTTCCCCTAAAACTGGGTTCGCGGTTTACCCGATTTACCTGAGGTGCCGACGTCAGGCGAAGAGAGAAGCTTGCAGCCGCAGTTTTAGGGGGCCAAGCGTGACGTATGGACGCACCGCGACAAGTGTCGTGCGTCGGCGCCAGCCATGGTGGACACGCAGAGTAGCAGAGACTCACTGCCACACCATCGGCCTTCGTGCCTGTCTTGCCTTGTGACGAACGAACGGCTAGGTCGGATGAATGGACCGAGAGTTCATTCAGACCCGCAGCCCCATTCAGCCAGCCAAGGAGAGAACACACCGCGAAGAAGCTGAAAGGAAGACGTCGTCGTCGCTCCCCGCTCCATCTACGCCGTCCATGCGCCGTTAGCGTGCTGCTGCTGCTTCTGCAGCCGCCGTTGCCGCACTAAAATTAAGAACAACAACAAAAAACAGTGTTACTGAAGTAGTATAAACAAAGTGATAAATTCTTTACAGAAATAATAGCACAATTTTATTATTTTTATCCGATGGTGAAGGGCAGTTCTTTTGGCCTTTGAGCCTGTTTGAGCCCAACCCTCCCAACCTGCCTGCAACCTGCCCAAAGCCAATCCAATCCCCCCCAAATCCAGGTCCGTCGTTTCTGTTCTGTTGCGTGTGTATGCCTGCTGAGGTGGTGCAGCTCGCTGATCTCTTTGCTTTGACCTTTGACGGTCATCGCACTAGTCCTTATTTATAATTACTATTTTATTTTTAGTGTGTGTCTTTTAGGCGTCTACTGCAAGAAATCCCTATGCGGAAGAGGACAGTGCTCGTGGCTTGCGGATCTTTCAATCCCGTCACGAACATGCACCTCCGAATGTTCGGTAGGTCCGACGTTGGATCCCCACTCATTTCACGGTAGATTTTGTGCGACCTGTCATTTCACGAGTGGACGTCATGTGCCGGCAATGCTTTGTTCCCGGCGCAGATATCGATGGAAGCGTTGTAGGTGTTCCGGATGACGTTGATCTCGACGAGAAGGCGTTGGGATCTTCTGTAGCAATCGTCTTATCGGTTGCTCCGTCCGGACGCAACGCCAGCCACAGCGTTTATTGATACGTCTTCTCGTCAGCACCGCTTGTTCGTTATATTTTATAGTCGAGTTTACATTGGCTCACATTTGCGATATGAAGCACGCACACTGCGCGACATTCTTAGTGCGAACACGACATCGGCGCTTTTTTTGCATTTTACTCGGACACAGTATTAACGGGCCTAAATTTCATTATAGCTTATTTCTCGGAATGAACACTTTCAGCCGGACTATTAGCTTTTATCGCAGCTTCATAAGTTTAAAAGAAAAGCAGGAAAAACTGGGGATTGTTTGTTCATACTAACAATGTCGCGTTGTGTGCAATACCTTCCTCATTGGAGCAATTACTTTTTATTCGTATATCAAACACCTGTTAGGTGACCCGACCACACTCCAAACAGGTCATACGGTCAACTCCTCTTTAGGCCCGCTTCAGATGGGGCAATTTCGCCCAGCAACTTGACGTCGCAACACCAGCAACACGGGTTGTCCGCATTCACACGCAGCAACCAATGAACCTTTTCCACTTGCCCACGGCACCAGGCGGTGGCTGCACGAACTAAAAATCGAGGAAGTGACCTGCGCTACCTATCGATAACGGGAGCTACGCTACCAGCTTCTTCGCTCACGGCACGCGAGCTACGTAAGCAGTACAAAGGTACGCACATAGGGACTTTCATACCTCGTGATCAGCTTCGTAGGTAGAACCAGGGAGAACCCGCGGAAAACAAATTAACCTAGCGAGCAACGATGGCGGCAGCGGCGGACATGTGTGGCAGGAGGCAATCGGAAGCATAAGGCCTCATTCACACAGTCGTTTTTTACCCCGTCCCGGCGATAGAGCCGGGCAGCATTTTTGCCAGGACAGAGGGTTTGCGAACCGGTTTCGGACGGAAATCGGGCCGCCGGAGCCGAAGTGAGCCGAACAACAATGTTCTACGTCCCCGGCCCATAAACTAAGTTCATTGTGACGCGGCCATGGGGGAGGAGCCATAACTTCACAAGCACCCAACACTTCATTGGGGGTGCAATTTCACAGTGACATCATGGTTCACGGCACTTGTTATCTTGAAACCTCATAGATTTTGAGGAACAAGGAAGTCCCCATAGAGAAATCTGGGGAGCACGTGCATCGTCGACTGCGGTGCTATTTTTTGGGGGGGGAAGGAAACAAAACAAAGATGCACAGTAAATCAAGAGAACCCCATATTCAAAATAAATAAATAACATACATTATTTTATTATAAATAGTTTGCGTTTATTTGTAACTCTGAACCAGCGTTCGAGGTTCACGCCGTTTCTGCTCCGCTGTTTTTTCTTCTGACGCTTTCACTCCGGTAGCAAAGCGTAAAAGGCAAGGTGCTTGCTGCTCGAACCGACAGCTCGACATGCCTATTGATTACATGTTTGCAAAGCTTTGGCCTTCTCGTCCTCCGTGCTAGGAAAACGAAACCAGCGATCGGCAAGACGTTTGACGATCGCAGTGGTGACAGCGTGAAGTGCCCTGCACGCTGTGGTTTGGTGCACGGCAATAGACTCGTTGCTTGCCACCGTCCCTTGGAAGCCGCCAGCCGCGTACAGTCGGTGAGCACACAACACCCGCTGCTCGGCAGTTATTACGCATACTGTTTTTCGGTCTGGTTGAAGATCGGGACGGAGCTTAATGCATAGCCATCTCCCTGCTTCCTTCGTCGAACGATGCTGTCCGACGAACCTATCTTCGGAACGTTCAAAGGCGTCGCAGTGCTCGCGAAATGTGCGTTCGGATTGCCGACATAGCAGGAGCGCACAACACAGTTCCGCCGTCTTCACTCAGGATGAAAAATAGTTAAAAAATACAAGGACACAGGGGAGAGAACAACACTGACTGTCAACTTTCTTATTATAAAAAACATGCCTGATCACAAAGGCCTATAGTAGGTCTTCTTTTTCTTTCACTGTGGGGTTGCTTGTTTCTTCCTATTTACTGATAACTCTCTCATCATTGAGCTCCCAAACTGTTGAAGTTTTCTTAAAAGAAACAGCTTCATTGTGACGACATTCTGACTTCACGAAAAACTGCAATTTCGAGGAGCATACACCCAACTTTATCGCCAGAACTTTACCACGACGTCACAGCTCTTTCCGAGGAGCAGCAGCCAATGGAAGACTGATGAAGTTATCTTTGCAATGAAGTTTGCACCACCAGCATAGACACACGGGTCCGGCTCGAAACGGACGAGCAAATCGGACAACTTGGAGACGTTTGGAGCAGCAGCAGCCAATCAGCGACGCAATATTTTCACGTGACACCCAGTGACGGGGATGATGGCAACTAACGACCTAATTCTGGTTTTAAATGGAACATTTTTTAGGAACAAACCGTTTCAGGAAAGACGGCTTAGTATTCTCAACACCATTTAAAAATACAAAAAAAACATGTTTATAGCACGTAACTGTGCATCTAAATAGCGCAAGAAAAATAAAATTGAATGATGATGATGGCAAGTCGCAGCAATTCGGTTGCTGCATGTAAAAGCAAGCGGCCCGTGTTGCTGGTGTTGTCACGTCAAGTTGCTGGGTGAAATTGCCTTGTCTGAAGCGGGCCTTATTGTCCTAGTCCCAACTGTCACCTCCTCGCACGTCCTGCCATCCACACATCCTCTCTCCCTGGTTTTTCTCCATTTCCCTAGCTCTGTTTTCCCTAGAGTGCTCCCTACCCTTCTGCTGTTCCCTCATGCTCCCTAGATCCTCACGCAACGAAAAGAATAATGTAAAAAGTACCTGGGGCTTAAACGTGAAAGTGCTCGGTTTCATACTCGTCTACCATATGCCTCGCGAGGACATTGTGGCGCTCGCTCCGCAGAGTTGGCCAGGGACCATCTCCAGAATGGCGTCTCTCCACCCGTTGAGGTGATTGGTGGCCTGATATCTCCCGTGAGCGACGCCTACGGCAAGGCGGGCCTGGTGTCTGCGCGACACCGCTGCGCCATGCTCAACCTGGCCCTTCTCACCAACGACTGGGTCAGGTGAGAGATGTGCACCAAGATCCCCCCAAAGAAGCCTCTATAAAGTATGGTGCCTGGAACGCTTCTTTAACCGGTAGGCCTAATCCTTGAGGCGGCAACAAACGTCGTGACAAAAGCCGGAGTGTCCTGCTGTCGGATGTCGCGGTCCCATCGGTCGTTCGTAGAAATGCTGACGAAGAGCACGAGCGAATGCGAGTGTCGCCGGTCGTTGCGGCGTCCCAACTCCTGGCTGCCAAAACTTCCATGGACCGTCAAGCTGCAGAGTGACCTGCAGTAGAACAGGCGTGTACTACATACACCACCGGTACTCTGGGATTCCACCAGAATCGCGACCGGCGACAGCATGACACTTCTGCGACATCGTCGGGCGACAATCGAGGGACCACTTTTGTTGCCGTGGTAAACACGCCAGTTGCAGACATGTTCCAGACACTGTATCTCGAGTGGCAGCCTATGGCACACAGTTCCTTCGGGTCAGCCACACGACTATGTGCAACTGTTTGAGTAGTTTGAGTTTGTTTCCAGACACTGAAGTTGAATCTAATACACTCTGAAGATTTGGCTCCTCGAATCCAGACCAAAACTACCTTTCCGGGAGAGCGTAAAATGTTGTGCTCGGGGCACTGCACCGAAAAGAAAAGAACTGCCGACGCTCAGAAAAGCGTCAGCAGTTATAGATCGTTCCTTCGATCGCCGATTTGTTTACGCCCTTTTTGTTGAAGCTTCCGAGTGCCTTATATTTTCAAAGTTTGTAAGGGTATAAATGCCATACAGATATTGTGCCACAGTAGATGGCTTTGCCATCGCATATTGCGACCGTTTATCCAAATGCAGACGATTTACCATCTGTTCGAAGATGTTGGGCTGGAAACACTGTGGCAAGGTTTTGACGAGAGGTGCATGCCAAGGCAACCGTGTTTAGGTTTTTAGTTTTTGTTTTAGTTTTGCTCACGAGTTACGGTGGATTACGCCACCACAATCCGATCCATTTGCAGGCTGGACACGTGGGAGTGCAGCCAGGAAGGGTGGACAGAGACACGGCGCGTCTTGCAACACCACTTGGATGCCCTGAGAGAAAGCCACCAGCAGAGGGTCGACGGAGCCCCCCATAAACGCCGGAGGACGGACAACTTGAACGGTGAGCCAGCCTCTCTCTCCAGCATGTCGGGTCTGAGGAGCCGGGAACTGTTGTCCAACGTGCGTTAGCACAGCTGAGTGGCGGTGCATGGAATCATAGAGTGCAGCCGGGGTCACTTCTCCCTAGGTTCAGACGGGAGCTGGCGGGACTCGATGCCTGTTCTTGCAGAGGCCTCTCCCATTGGCGTGATGCTTCTCTGTGGGGCAGACCTCCTCCAGTCGTTCAGCGTACCCGGACTCTGGAAGGACGCCGACGTGAGTGGGTTGAATCGCATGTGCTACGGGGGACCATCTCCTTTGTGGCATTCGTAAGAATGCAACCAATCCTATAAAATTATGCATGACGACTTTAGTACGAGCTGGTTGGTTTGTTGTTAGGTAAATGAGCTCAAAAGTGTGAACAAGACACGGATTAATAAAGGCACACATACAGCAAGAACTGTTGAAAACAATGCTTAGAGTGCAGGCGAGCTGCTGTATATTGAAGAACATAATGGTGAACCCTAAGACTGAGGAAGATCAGACTTAAAACAAAAAAAGGAGACAAAACGGAGCCAGACAGTGATGATGTCTGTCCCCATTCTGTTTAAACTTTGTTCTATCTCAGTCTCGAGGTTTAAAGGGGCACTGACACCCCAAAGGTCGTATTTATTTTTATTGTCTAAAACGATGCAAGTTGCAGCCATAGACACGCAAAAAAAACCGCATCGCGAAAAAAAATTTTCCCGCGCGCACGCGCACCTTTTTATTTTTGGCGTTTGATTTTCCCGCTTTTCGCCTCCTCGCTTCTTTTGATCGGTGACGTCAAAAATCAGGAAATTTAGAAGCTTTGTAGGCAGCATCTTTATAACATTTAATGACGGCAATCCTAAAACATGTTTTTTAACGCAATTGCGAACGCACTACGGCCCTTCTTTTTGAAATACCAAAAATCGGGAGTTCGTTGTGGTGCCGTCTCCTGGATTTGTATCCTCCAACGGAAAACAGGCGACACCGCTCAAAACCGGTCCGCCGCAACGCCGGCGCTAGCCGGCGCTCGCTCCTTTCCTCTTCGCTTTGGGTCGCCATGGCAACAGCAGGGAGTGGTGACAGGAAAGGGGACTCTCAGGTCTCCTTAATTTTTGACGTCAAGGCACCGGCGCCGATCGCGCGGGAACTTCGAATTCGGCATTTGGAAATTGTTTTTTTACTTCACGAATACTGAATTCCCAAATTTCAAATTTTGAGGGTAATGTCCCGGCATCGTTTTCGACCGTTTCGGATAATAAAAAAAAATATGATTTTGACGTGTCAGTGCCCCTTTAATATCATATTCAAGGGCTGGTGCTTGTACGTGCGACTTTATTCGTCATCTTGTTCACAGTTCGAGCTTTTTCTGCAAAGGTGTGCGAATAACCTTGAATAATTCGAGAGTAAGAGTCAGAATTCTTCGGTGTCTTGCATCAATCTTCACCGCTTTGCACCAGCACTCTTATGTCAAACTTCACCGCTTTGCACGAGCACTCTTGCGTCAAGCTTTACCGGTTCGCACAGGCACGCATACATCAAGCTTCACTGCCCCACACCGGCGTGCGTGCATCAAGCTTATCTATTTTGCACCAGAGCGCACGATCCGGTGCAAAAAGCTCCTTGCAGTGGGCGCTTGCACCCAGGTGCTTGGTGCGTGGCGTCACCACCGACCCCAGACACGTGGGCCCCCTTTACCCACACGCAGGGGGTACCTGCTTTAGTAGGTGCTTGGTGAGTGGCATCACTACAAACCCTGAGCCATGTGGGTTCACCCAGCCTCGCCTGGCTGTACGTGGCTTAACCCGTGTTCGGTTAAAAGGGGATCTCGGTGATCAAGCTGAGCCTGGGGTACGTTCGGACCCTTCGGGGCCCCATGGGGAGAGGCAATATACCGCTTCGTCCCCTGCTTTTGTAGACGAATGTCCTGGCTTGGCCCGACCAGCATGATTCAGTCAGTTGCCTTTCTTCTCCTCTCCTACCTTTGCCTTTTTTCTTTATCGGCCCTTCTTTCCTCTTTCACCTTCTTTGGCAGCAAGGGCTAACCTTGGGTGGCGACAGATGCCCTCGTCCAGATCCACACTTGGTTATAGTTTCCCGGCAGCACTGTTACAGTAATGTCTCCAGGAACCCTTCTTGCTATGGTGCATTACCTAACCCCTTCTTGGGCTCGGTTTGGTGTGGTGCATCGTGGATTCCGAACATCCTTACCTTTTTATGGCTTCCTGCGCTCCTAAATCCTGAGCGATTTTTTGAGCTCACTCTACAAGTGACACTGCATTTGTCAAAAGTTTCTCCCTTTTTTATTGCAAAGCACTTAAAACAAGTGATTGGAAAATGTTATAAGGCAAAGGAGCTAGCTGGAGACATCCTTGTTGAGGTAGGAAATTAGCTGCAGAGCACAGCACTTCTGAAGATGACAAGCCTGGGAGATTACTACTAGGTTACTGTAACCCCCCATTGTACCCTGAATGCTGTTCATGGTGTAATCTGAGAAGATGACCTTCTCGAATGCAGTGAAGAGGAGATCCTCAAAGGTCTGTTCAAGTGTGCTGTTGTAGCTGTTCGACGGATCACTTTAAAACGTGATGGACAAGAAAAACCAACCCGACATCTCACTCGCATTTGAACTCCATGCTCTTCCATCTATTGTGAAGGCAGGGTACTTGAACTGTAGAGTCCGCCCTTTCATTCCAAATATTTAGCGGTGTTTCCGCTGCCATCTTTTTGGGCATGGTTCCCAGAACTGCCGCGGCCGAGAAACGTGTGAAAAGTGCCGTGGTACTGACCATGTGGCGGACATCTGCAAAATTGAACTTAAATGTGTAAACTATAGTGGAGCTCACCCTGCTTTCTTTCGCCCATGCCCGAAATGGAAACAGGAAAAAGAAGTATTGACCTTTAAAGTAAAACATAACCTTGGCTACCAAGCAGCCAAAAAACAGCTTGCCTTTCAGGCAGGGGTTTCTTATACCCAAACAGCGCGTAGGGGACCCCCACTGTCTACGGCATACATGAAGACACAGGCATCGCCCTTCGTCACTTCTTTCACCTGCTCGCTCGCTCGCTCGTACCTGGTTGGATCTTCTATTTTCTTGTTGACTCTTTTTTACTAACGAAGAGAACGTAGCGGTGTTAAAAGTGTGTTTCACGCAACAAGAGCTCGTGTATGCAAGCAATGGACTTCGCGATAGTAAAACATTGTCATGAGCATTTCTTGCATCAAACAAAAGCTGTTTTGAGTCTAATGTGTCTTGTGCTGCAGCGCTAGATATGTACAGATAAATGGTCGTTTTTTGTAGCTTTTTTTAACTTTTTTTGTGCTTACTTGTTGAGACATGGCCCATCCCACTTTTTTTTATGAATTTCAGGTGGCAGGGGGTGGGCAATGACTCCCGACATTACAGAATTCTCTTTGAACTCAAAATACACTATTCACACATGACTAATCGTGTTAGAAAGGATCACCGCAAGCCCTCACGTCTCCTGTTCCCTTCCGACTCGTTCTGAAGATAGAGCACCTCGTGTCCCAGTTTGGCCTGGTGGTGGTGACACGGTCAGGCTGCGACGCTGCTCGCTTCATCTACGAGACGGACTGCCTCTACCGTAATAGGGTGAGTGTTGCATGCCCATTTCCAAGTTGGTTCTCACTCGGCTCTTGTCCCGCACACACAGTAGACTTAATTTCTTCAAACTCCAGGAAGCCACGTATTTTGCTTGAATTATCAGAACTTTGAATTATCAGAAATTTACCTAAATATGATGCAAGATGAAATTATGATTTGTTATATGGGTGGCTACACGTACAAAGCAGATATTTGATGATTCTCTCTACACGGACATATCTAATCATGAGCAGGTATGCCACGCATAAGACATTGGCGAGATGTGTGAGACAAAATTATTCGTCCCTCAAAAATGTTGTCTGTTGTGGACTGTTTAGACAGTAGATGACACCTCAATACAAAATTGAATTTCTTCGTCCAGCGAAGAAGTTGTCTACGTCTATTGTGAACTATCAGTCCCGTTGAGCGCGCTTCTTATTGAGCACCGCTGCACTGCGGAGAAGCAACACCCACGGAGCTCGCTTCCATGGGTGTTGTTTCTCCGCAGTGCACCGGTGCGTGGTAGGAAGCGCGCTCAACGGGGCTGCTAGAACAAAAAGTATGAATTACACGAAAACGCCGCTTTAAATTAAGCGACTTATAAATGCATTAAAAACAAATAAGGTGGTCAACTGGGCCAGTTGGTTGACGTTATACATGATGGAGAAAACAGCTCAGAAAACACGGACTATGAATAGGAACAAACACGACAGGACGATGCTGTACTCGCAACTGAAGAATTTTAATAAAGGAAACAAAGACAGAAAAGCGTTCAGTCTTTCCACTTTTGTGAAGAAGGAAGACCAGCGGAGCAGTACTCGATATACTGCCGCAACGTGCACGTGCCCGTTTCCCGTTTCTTCTCGTCCGACATGCCGCTGATCGCGGATATATCTCCGGCGAACCAGAGTCGGTCGCACACGGCGCACGTGATGCCAAACAGGTAATCCACGAACTCCCAAACTCGCCGTCGCGCCCAGGAACTGTTCAGTCGGCGTGGAGTGCAGTCGTCGCCGGGCCTCGCACTTGCGCTTGTCCTCCGCGGCACGATCGTCGTCCGTGGCGTTGGTCCGCCGGCGATCTTTACATCGCTGGTTCTGTTCTCGGCGGAGGCTTTCCAGGCAAGCAATGTGGTCCTTTTTGGCAAGGGAATCCGAAGCGCTCGACGCAGTGTAAGTCGGGGCGACAGCAGCTTTGCAGCGGTGGTGGACCCATTCACGCTGCTGCGTACGTCGCCGCTCCTTCGGCAGCTAGTCTTCTTTCCCCGAAAGGGCGCACGGCCGACCCATCCCAAGTCCTAACCGAAACTGATACAAGCGTAGGAAACAGCGCACAAAAGAGACGAGGACGAAGAAACACACATGACGAGCGCTGCGCTCGTTACGTGAGCTTCTTCTTTGTCGTCGTCTGTTTTTCGCGCTGTTTCCTACAATGAATTCCCACCGACGTGCCCAACTATTGTGTGCTTGCCGCCGTCGCTTATAGATGGCGGTAGCTGTCCAGGTGGGTTTGTGTCGATAGGCGTTTGATACCGGATACCATACTGGGGAACCTAGCCGTTAACAGCCCCGCTGTAAAAAACATGCACAGTATCTTAAAAGATCGCACAAAAACAAAGGATCTCTCTTGCCAACCGTGAAGCGTGTCAATAAACTACCCGTTCACTATGTGACTCATTTTTTGCCGCAGGAAGGAAATCTCTTTGGCTGACAGCGCCAATGACGGCTCACTAAGACATGAATGACCATGACACAAAATGTGGAAGGCCTCAATGGTCTCTCTCGCCGCCCTATCTTTGTGCGCGCGCCCGGAACAGTGACTCCGCCAAAGTCAGGCCGACACTTGCACTTTCTGCAATGAATGGGCAAAAGCCCCCCAACCGTAGCTCCGAGCGAATATGAATGTTCTCGTAATCTATCATTCAGACATCTTCCTGTCTGCCCCACGTAGCACCTGTTACATGACAAGATCGTTGAGGCCTTACACATTTTGTGTCATGGTCATTCATGTCTTAGTGAACCGTCATTGGCGCTGTCAGCCAAAGAGATTTCCTTCCTGCGGCAAAAAATGAGTCACGTAGTGAACGAGTAGTTTATTGACACGCTTCACGGTTGGCGAGAGTAATCCTTTGTTTTTGTGCAATCTTTTACGATATTGTGTATGTTTTTTTCTGTCTTTGTTTCCTTTATTAAAATTCTTCAATTGCGAGTACAGCATTGTCCTGTCGTGTTTGTTCCCGAGCTGCTTTCCCCGTCATGTACAGTGAAACCCGTTTAGAACGAACCCACGTACAGCGAATTCTTGTCGATATCGAACTCACGGAAAATTTAAAGAAAAATGCATGTAAAATGTATGTTTTATAACGAACAGCATATTGGCTATATCGAACTCTTTCGCCCCGGGAAGGCTTCCAAAAACGCGCATACAATTGTCTTCCAGAATGTCCCTCCCCCCTCCCTCTCCCAGAAAAAAAAAGAGGGGGGGAAAAGAGAAAATTCCAAAAGCTTGCGGTGCGAACAAAATTGAGCAAAGAGAAGCGATTCAGAATGGGGAAAATCTAAAAAAATACACTCCCCATGCACGCACAGAAAAAACAATCTTTTCATCCCAAAGCGTTTGCTCAAGAAGGGAAGCGATTCAGAAGGGGAGATAAGCTAAAAAAACAAACTCTGCACACATGCAAAAAAAACAAAAAAACTTTACAGCACGTTGTTACAAGGCGGAAGTGAAGAGATGAGAAAGAAAGAAGCTTTTGCCTTACAGCGAACTCATCGTGGAAGTTCGTTGTAAATGTTTTTTGCTATATCGAACTACTTGCTATATCGAACTGATCGTAGCGTTTCCTGCTGTTCGTTATAAACGGGTTTGACTGTATAACTAAAAACAAAGCGGGACAACCAAAATTTTAAAATCTGTTTGAATAAACCGGAAGTATGAAATGTCCTAGCTTGAATTATTGCGAGCCTACTGCATGTAGTAGACTTGGAACCGTCGTTGCCTTTTGCTTTGCCTTGCGAGTCGACAAGATTTTTTTTTGCTCTGCCGACTGCTAGGCAGGAGTGCTTTGCGAGCCACAAAGAAATCTGAGGACCGACGCCTAGAAGATAAATGCATTTATCCTATCAAAAGAATTTTTCTTTTGGTAGTGCTAGGCTAATGTTCATTGTTTGTTTCTCCTCTGCGAAATATTGATTTTTTTTTTGAATCTATCGGCACATCGTTGTGGACACAGAACAAATTGTAATACAAAAGAAAACAGCATGGCGTGCGTGGCTACGATGCGCGTCAAAGAAGTTAATTAGAGACTTTAGGAGTTTTAGGACTCCCCGCTTCATTTAGCGTTCAGTGAGGCCTTCAGCTCGCTACATGGCATGGGCCCTCCATCATCGTTTTTCTGTGTTGCAGCATAACATTCACCTGGTGACGGAATGGATGACCAATGACATCAGCTCCACAGGAATCAGGTGAGGCCCGTTCATGTCATCTTCTTTCACATGTTACTCTCACACCCAAGGGTGTTCACACCCAAGGGTGTTCACTAATTCAGCTCACTGCTACGCTGACAGGGCGGTAGAAGCCGAGCTCGTCGGACTAGTCGTTCGTCGATCTTTCACTACGCGATTATGATCCTGCCCATACTCATGCGCAGAGAGCAGGCTCAGGCGATGAAAGGCAGGCGGTTCATTGGTTTAGCATGTGCATAGATCTTACCACTCCATCAGCTTATGGGTTAATGGAGTATTAAAGTGTCCTCCAGGTAGTCACCATCCTGCTCTCTTACGGCTTATATTAACTAAACATCTAGAATGTTGTGCTTGTTCTAGCTTCTCGACCAGCACACACTGTGCTTTTGAAGTTTTCAGTTCCTGCTTGGTGCGTAGCTTAAGTAATGGCGTTTTTAATTGTTTTTTTTTTCTTGGGAGGATAATAAGTTTTTGTCTAAAAGTGAAGTGTTGGGAAGATCCAACTTGTTCACCAGCAGTGGAGCTTTTGAAATGCTCCTTTAAAAGAATCAAAGTGGAGAAACATTAGCAATCTCAAAACGTTGCAGAAAATGCTTAGCCGACGTTGGAGGTTTAGTCACGGCCAGTGTCGGTTGAGAGCACGGTGCTCTGCATGCAGACGTGCTTTGGCCCGTGGTGAAAGTGTCAAGTACCTGCTTCAGGACTCGGTGATCACCTACATCCAAGAGCACGGTCTTTACAGACCCTCGTGAGTATTTGTATGTACTGGTAATTTGCGACACATCACAGACCTATGGGTGTGGGCCTATGGCTTTCCGTGGTGACCCGTCTCTACAGAGTTCAAGAATACCAACACACATACACAAGGACTGCAGCATTTTCTATATGCCTCTTCTTTGATGAGAACACAACCGTTCTTCGCCTAGATCTAGTGAGACTGCTAGTGACTTGGCATTATACCATTAGTATTAACGACATGTTAATGATAGCTTCACTTACGAGCTATTGAAATCGCTAGTACTAAGTCAGCCTTATGCTATTACTATTACGTTGTCTCTTCAGATTAATCCGTAAAACATTCGCCATGAAAATTTTTGTCAATTATGATTTATCTGAAGAACTATGAATTTCGAGGTCACAGTGGCAAAATGAAAAGCAAAGGAGACAGTATTCTACAAACAAGGTTCATCAAAAAACAAAATTTATAATCCAAAAAAAAAAGAAAAAAACTTTGCTGTTTAGAGGAGGGCTTGTGTTTCTATGACATGAAATATATAAACCTGTAGGTTTCAGAGGGGGAGGGAAGCTGAACCGTTTATGCTTCCCAGCGACTAGGTCCAGGACATACATGGGTAAATTACTTTCAAAATGTAATTTAATTACAATTACAATTACTTAGCTCCAAAAGTAGTTTAACTACAATTACAATTACTACTACGCAAAAGTAGTTCATTGCAATTACAAATTACTTTTTAAAAGTAATGCAATTACTTTACAATTACTTATTTCTGAGAGTTACCCCCCACATTAAGCCATATAACTGTAAACGAGTTATATGGCCGCTGTATAAATGTCACGCATTGTACTTTCCTTTTATGAAATTTGTTAAATGGATTATAGAACTTAATAGTTTGGAGTAATGGACTCCTGCGTTCATATATTCTCAAAACATAAAAAATGGCGACAAAATTCACAGGTGCGAGGTGAATCTCCTTAGAGCTTATGCAAATGGTATCCAAGTCAAACCTATTGAAAAAATAAACTTAAAAATAATACAAGGAAACAAATATGCGACAGTACTGGTATCATAAAACTCACGTAAAAATGGCTAAGAGAAACTTGTAAACGACGTCAAACATTTAAAGGATACGACAACTTATGAAAACATTGCAGCCACGATGATTCGCTGCCTCTCCCTGTCTGTGGACTTGTAACATGCCGGATGTGGGTAACCGTAGCACACGAACTGTGGTCGCTTCCACAAAACTAGTGTCACAATAGCAGCAACTCTATTGCCAGGGATTCTGGGTTAATTCAGTGCACGGTAACACCCAAAAAGCTCCTGAGATAAATAATAAATTTAGGATCGTCATGTAGCTAATCATTAGGATAGCAATGATTGTATCGATGTTGTGCGTCTCATAAAGAAGGCCGATTTGAATTTAGCGTGGCAAGAACAACCTCGAAAAATTCATGATACACTGCAAACGACTTTATTTTCGCGAATTTAGCGAATCGCCTACAATTCGCGAAAAAAAATGTAAACACATTGGAATCTATATCGCGACCGCACCGCGTCACGAAAATTAGAATCCGCGAATTATTCCAAAACTGCGGCCTCTTGGACGCCTCGATTTCACGATTTACTTGAGCGTGTTTCAGCTGGAAGATATAGACGAGCTATAATTATTCTTTTTTTATAACTGTAAGTATTATTCAAAGTAACAAGAAAGTTGCCTACCTGCAAGTGTTTCCGCAAATTGGAGGTCGCCTTTCGGTTTATTGAATTTGTTTTCAGAAACGGTCCGGAGAGTTTGCTCCTCACGATTATAGTTTTTTACATTGGTGCTAATCTGTTTAGAGAATTTTTCGCAACAAGGCCCCGGCAGCCTTTCCTTTTCCATTGTAGATAAGACTGTTGCAGCTTCTCAATGCAAAGCAGCACTGCGCGCCTCGGGGCGGTTCCACAGGCCAAGACGAGAGGACAACGCGTGGAGGGTCACGATAGAGGTGTAAAAACAAAGTGCAAGCCAAGCCCTCTATAAAAAAAGAAGCCTTCAACGAACAACAAATGCAAAAACAAGCTCCCCACAGCTAAAGCCGCGATTTGTAAGTTTTGGAATCTCGTCCAATCAGGCTGACAAACGGTTGAAAGGGTTAGGTAGAGCGAACACTAAATAATGAAGATTTATACAAAAAGGTAGACGAGGATTGGGAGAAGGAAGAGCAGTGTAGCAAGAACAGTTGGAAGTAAGGCAAGGTGAGTCGTGTTAATAAGACCTGCTGCTTCTTTACTTCTTCGCCTCGATGTTAGAGTAGCACGACTTACTGTTAGTGGTACCAACATACGAGATAGAGGAGAAGGACGTGAAAAACTCATAAAGAAAAGAGAATAATTTCATTAACAAAAAAGTTCCAAAGTTGACTGAAATATGTAAGCGAATATGCTAGCCGCGAAGACGCGTAAGGAGAACCTCGAACCTCCCCGCCTCGACCGGATGATGTGATCGGAGCCAACCAGCTCGACTTCGACCTCCGATGCCCCCGTGTGGGAATGATAAATAAGAAAGACCCCTAGAAACAGGAGCAACAGGAAGCAAACGAGACGAAGAGTCAGATTCAACTACGACAGGAACGAAAACGGACGCGAATGTAGCCCTCATTTATCAAATTATCTTTCAAATTCTTCATTAAGCGTTTTACAGTCTACAAAATCCTTCATTCCGTTCTATCCCAGCCTTTCTTTCCCATCCCTCTTTTCCATATTTTTTTAGCAGGTTGGGAGACGCTCTCTCCCCTGTCGCTTTGGCTGTGCTGTCGTCTCCGTGGCCAGGGGGGAAAAGCGCCGCCGCCACAAAATCTTGCAAAAGTAATTGTAATTGTGCCTGAAATTTAGCAATTACTGACGCTGGAAAGTAATTAAATTACAATTACAATTCCTTTTAGCCAAAAGTAATTATTACAATTACAAATTACCAGGAAAAGTAATTAAATTACAGTAATTTAATTACTGTAATTGAATTACTACCCAAGTATGGTCCAGGAGCTTGGCTCTTTTAAAATACTGACATTTATTGAAGCAACACTTGTTTGCAAGATCTGTCGCAGGGCAGTTAGTACTGCCAATCGCAAGGACACCATGTCAAATGCAGCTGCAGAAATATATTTCAATACCGGTGAATTTTTATAAATTTAGGGCACATTTTTATATTAAATTTTAAGAAAAAAAAAAAAAACGCTAAAAATAAACTAAATTCTCTAGAATTTCGAATCTGACAAAAATAAACTCCAAGAAACCCCGAATTTCAAGCGAAAAATGAATTCCGAGAAACACCCTCTAAATTTTTCTGAAAATGAACTGTGAAAACACGGAACCCTAGCTATTAAACTTGAGGAAGAAAATGAGAAGGGACAGACAAACACAAACTTCTAGTGGAAGTTTGTGTTTGTCCGTCCCTTCTCATTTTCTCCCTCAAGTTTAATTATCCATACCAACCCGCTCGTTCTGTCCTAGCTATTAGTAACGAAACGGCGTTACAGAAATGGGCCACGTGGCTTCAGCTGTACTAGTTGATGTCGGCCATCTTAAAACAAGTGTTCCACCGAGGTGTTACCCATACCTCTGTCTGCATGTGTGGAGGTGCGATTATTCGCAACCAACTTTTTCTAGAATTGTCATGGAAAATAACTACTATTCAAGTACTACGCTTGCCTCTGAAAGAAAATTAAAAATAAATTTTTAGAAGTTTGTTACGATAGTTGGAATGCTGCTTCTTGTCACTGCCATAGCTGCTGTGGAGAACAGTGGGAGCTGACTCGTTCAAAGTGGGGCTCGATGTAATGCACAAAGCCTTAGTTATCCAGGCAAGGGTTCCACATTTGTAACAGATTGACACAACCTTTGCAGATCCGTGGAAAACCAGGACGACTCGGACAACGGTCAGGAGACTGCAGTGTAGGCTCCGAAGACAGGGTCACCTCCGTTCACCCGACAGCTACCGCATTTTACGTTTTACCGACATTTAGGGCACATTGTACAAACTGACACCCATCATGCATTTGTCGCATCGGGGTGCGCAGTGCCAATTTTATCCACGTTTGTATTTTAATGTTGTGGCACAATGATACGCTGTGATAACGACTGCTCTCCGGTTGGTACTTAAGCGCGGTTCTGTGGTGCTAAGCGGCGACTCCCAAACAACTTTGTGCAGTCATATGTATGGCACTTTACCCATTTGTCATTATTCGGGATTTAACACGAAGATGCGACACCATCTAAGGTCTAAAAGTAGGTGTCTTTTATTGGTAACTGCGCCAAACGGGCATCTGGCGGCCAAAGTGCGAAAGCTCGCTGTAGTCGTCGAGAAAGTTTCAGGTTAGGTGGTTACGAAAATTTGGCCAAATCAAATTATGTGTAACTTGCAAGACGAAGGTATGCAGGCAAGTTGTTGGCTTGAATCAAGGCTGTTGACGCTGTTTATTTGGCTCTATCGCTTTAATCAAATAACCGCTTACACCGAATTTTTCTGCCACCCCCTTAACTTCGTTATAACGAGGGATTACTGTAACTTGCTACAGTGGTCGTTTTAAATCAGTGCATCTCTGGTAACTCACCTGTACTGGGAGAGATGAGGGAAAGTTCTAGTCATGAAATGCGAGTACGATGAATGCATCGTAAGGTTGTATTTTGAAAACATGAACGTAACTCCATTCGGTCGTGCATGCAACATACATTATAAAATCGGCAGCATATTCAAACATGGTCGGTTTCGTTGAGTTCCTCGGTGCAGTGCATCGAGTAGGATCGGGGAGAGAGAAGACAATGCTAGATTTGAGGTGCATTTCACTCTGTGATGAGAAAATGCAATTCGAGTCAGACAAAAGCAGCATCCTGTAACATGCCCAGATAAACATATTCTAGATGCATATTGTTGTTTCGAGAAATAATGTTGGCTTCTTCAATATTGCAGGCTACTACTAATAAGATAGTGTATACATACAAATGGATAAATGAACCAGTGTTGTGGCTATTATTGTACCCTCTTTAATTGCAGGATGTACATACTTACTGCCTCTAAATATTCAGGAATGTTGTACAAGGGCCACGTCCCAGAGCGCCTCTAACTCCAGTGGCATAGGAGCAACTGAAGACCTTTATCCAATATCAACAACTCCATCTTTGTATCTCTATTTCAGCCTTCAAAATTCTCCATAGTAACATTTCTAACTCCAGTCTGCACGCTTAGCACTTTTATCAAATGCTGTAAACGTTATCTATGCATGAACATTTCAATTGTGTTTGCTGCACGAGCATAATTGAAGCATTACAAAGCCACACTAAAGGCACATCCCTCTACAACACGGTTTGAATGTGTTCAGATACAAGTCCCGACAAACCCGTGCCTGCAAAATATAAAAAAAGAAACAATTTTTTACATGTTGTTTGACAGTTGTGCAAAGGAAGCTTTAACTTAAGACCCTTGCGGTCTCTTCTGTGCAAAAGCAAACATGATAAGCTAAAATGTGTGTGAATATCTATGGCCACGTTTTTATAGAAAATAAAATATGTACAAAAACATAAGAATCACGCTACAATTTCCATGTAATTGGGAAGTTCCTTTCAGCCGTGGGAAGTTTCTTTCAGCAACGTAGCTTTCCCATGGCATTACTACACGATGCAACAAAGCCAACAAGACTGGACAAGAGCGGTATATTGCGAGAGTCTGGCCAGTGCGTATTTCGACAAAGGCACTGGAGAGGAGAAAAGTGAAGGAAAGGGAGGACAGCACCGAATGAGTGAGAGAAGAACAAAGAGGAGACGACCGCCATTTTGACGCAATACGCTGTAGGCACAGAGCACTGTTGAGGCTATGCGTCGTCTGCTACGGGCTTATTTCTTTTCCGCCTGAATAAAAGTTTGCATTCAAACATGGAGAAACGTCTTTCGTTAGCTTTTTAAGCCACCGAGGAATAACACTATATAATTTTCTTGCCAGATCCTGCCAAAGAAAAGAAAAGAACCGAAATTTGGTTGTCGGTCCCATGCATTCCACCGGGCGAATGAATGGAAATGGCGACCCTCCCCGCTCAGCTGGGAGCGGCCTGGAGTTAATGCTCATGTGCTCACGCCTCTCGCTCAGCACGGCGGGCTGACTGGCTCACGTTAAGGCGGCGAGATCATAGATTGGCCAAACTCTCCCCATGTACAACTCTGAATCGGACGACCTGCACAAGGTTTTTGTGCCCAAGGCCGTGCTACGCAATTCCGAGGTCTGCAGCTAATTTTAACGCTTCACATCCTAATAGAGTGCCCAACTACTAGCTGCATTCTCCTAGGCCGAACAAAGCTATAGCCCGTTTCACTTCATGTACAGGGTGTCACCAAAAAAAATTTACAGTCTTTTTTACCACAAAAATAAACTAGGCATCGCCGAACGCTCATTCTCCGCCCGAAGGTATTGCTGGAGGTCACAACCAGAAGCCAAAGTTTCAGCCCGATCCGATACCTTAACCAAAAGTTATAAGTGATTTTCTGCAAATTTCAATGGGAAAATGGAGCCTATTTTTGCCCGTTTTCGGTTTCTGGAGTCATAAAGCCTTATATGTTTGAAAACTACGTCGGCCACAATTTTCCCATTGAAATTTTCAGAAAATCAGGTATAACTTTTGATTAAGTTATCAGATCGGCCTGAAACTTTTGCATCTGGTTGTAACCTCTGGCACTACCTTTGGACAGAGACTGAGCGTTCGGCGATGCCAAGTGTATTTTTGTTATAAAAAAAGACCGTGTAAATTTTCTTATGTGACACCCTGTACAAGCGAAGCCAAAGCGACACGCGAAAGCATGTTGTCCTGGACGACACGCACACAGCACGAGCGCATGCCTGGCAGGGATGTTGAAAGCCCAGAGTTCCCTCTTGTAGCTTCTGCTACGCTCGCACTTAAGTGAATAGGAGTATGGTGCAGCCGCAGTCGTTGAGTTTCCTAAGAAAAAAAAAAAAAGGCCGGGCAAAAGTTCTCCTACGACTCCTACGTTTGACAGACGCAGAGCTAAAAGTGCTGACAAGCACTCCTCCTAATGAACAAAACGTAAGGGCGCAAACGAGCTGGTGTACATTGCACATGGTTGCATAGTCTCGGGGTTTTTTTAACCACTCCTCCTACATTCCATTTCACACTATACGTCCAAACGCAGTCAACGCTATAATCCAATTGAGCAAATCAAGCGGAGCCAAAGGTGCATCGTCGCAGCTCTTGGCGTCTTTGCGAGTCATCAACAACTAAACTAATCGCGCACAAAAAAAGCGCAGGATCGCAACGCGTTTATCGTGCACAAATTGATCTACCCAGCGATGGCAGACGTACAAAGATGACGAGCGCCGCCACGACGCACTTTTGGTGCCGCTCGACTGACTCCATCAGATCTTTTAGCGCTGGCCAGAGTCGGACCTGGGGCGAAACGGAGTGCGCCGACCCCGCTTTTCGTCCTGAAGGACCCAACTCCCGTCAGGGGCAGGAACCATAGCGCCTCACCGCAGCCTCCAAGAAGTGGCCGCATGTCTCGTCCCGTGGCAGCGCGCGCCTCACGACCTCGCAGTTTGGCATTGATTCCCGAAACTCGCGGGGCACCTCCGCGGGCTCGTCCGCAGACGCAATCAGCCTCCGCAACGCCGGCGAGACCCTCGCGACCTCCGGCAAATCGCCGAAGCGCACCTCCGTGTTGCAGACACAGAGTCGGCGGAGTTTTGTCAACCAGCCGCGCGGAAGCGCCGAAAACGGCCTGCCTGTCGCAGACGTGTTCCCGACGAAGAGCGTCTCGAGGCTCCGCGCATGGCGCAGCACATGCGCGAGACCTGTGTCATCTAAGGCAGTGGCCTCCAGGTCGAGGCACGCCAGGTTCTCGAGGAGGCGTTGAAGGCGTAGCATGCCACCGGAGTCGATCCGAGCGCACCGTTCAAGTCCCAGCGCACGTAGCGAGGTCGCACGCGCTTCAAGGTGTCCGAGGACGCAGGCATCCACTTGGATGCACGAAGAGAGGTCCAGAAATCTCAGACGTGACACCAACTGCAAAAGAGACGAGTGGAAATCTGTAGTACTTCTATACGGAAAGCAAGTCGTCTGCTCCTTGCGCAGGGGTTGCGGTGATGTTGGAACAATGCCAAGCTCCAATTGGTTTTGATTGAAAGAATAGTGGATAGACCTCAATGCTAGATGCCTTGAGGTCTACCGACTATTTTTTTCGATGAGCCAATAAGAGCTTGGCGTTCTCACATTGTCGCAATCGTCGTGCAAGAAGCAGACGAATTTGCGCTCCGCATAGTCGCTGGCAATTGAGAATAGCAGAAAGAAGCTTCGGTCGTCCCGGCTCCAGCATGAACTTTCCACCTTCGACAACGTTGTTGTCGAAGGCAGGGAAGAGTCGACGCATCCAGCGACACTCTCCACGGTGGCTTCTCCAAACCTGTATCCATCCGTTAGGTTCTCGGAGCAATCCGATTGGTTGACTCCAAACGTAGGCAACAGTGCACCTTTGCTGCTTCAATTTGTCCATAGAAAAAACTTTCCCATAACACAACAAAAAGATTCGAGTTCAGGGGTCCAATTTTAGTCTCAACGAGAGTGAGATCTAATTTGCCTCTCGTGGAGCGGGCAAAGATGGCGTTTGCAGACGGTTTGTTTGCCGGCGCGAGCGAGGGACACTGTTTGTCTGCTACGGAGTGCCGTTTGCAGATGGCAATAAAACAAGAAAACACCCTACGTCGTCTGCTAACAGACCCGAAAAAGAGTTTATCATTTGCCATGAGCCGAACACACCAGCAGAGCTAGATTGGAAGCAAGATAAAATTGCGATTGTGTGCCATTTCTTGTTGAAAGTCACCATCAACTGGCGCTTCGTCCGCAAATCTCGGGTTGTTCTGCCGCCGTACACAAGCTAGCATCGACCGGTGGACGAAGGAATGCTAAGGACGAGCACATCAGAAGCCGCGAGACCTCTCCCGTAGCAAGACATTCTTGCCAAAATATTGCCCGATAGTGAATTCGCAAACAGATCAACCCTGTCTCAGGAACGCTCTTGCTCTCACCTTGGCTGAAATTGGACCCTGGATAATCTAAGAACCGGGACGGCGCTCACTACGATTTCGGTTGGTTGCGAGCAGAGCCGCAGCATCGCAAGTGCCGGAGGGGAGCGAGGGGGACGCCACCTGGGAGGGGTCCTCGGAGAAGAAGGGTGCCGGCTGGAAGAGGCACCCCCTCATGCCTAGGCTCCGCAGGGTGGGCGGGAAGTTGCCCAGGGTGGGAACCTCGCCGTTGGTGTCCAGCGCCAGAGCCATGTCGGAGAGGAAGAGTCCTTGGAGGGCGGGGCAACGGTGGCAGAGCTCCGGCAGCGTGAAGGAGCTGAGCGAGGGCGACAGGCTGTGGAACGAGGACGCGTGGGTGCCCCAGCGGCTGCGGTACAGAAAGCAGCCCCGCACGTGCAGCTCGCGCATAGAAGGCGCTACCTGCAAAAACGGTCAAAGATGACCTCCAGCAGCAGAAACTTTATGATGATCTGACTGGCCCGCGACCCAACTTTGGAGTGCCACGAGCCCGTACCTGAGACCGGAGCAGGTACCAGATGCGCATGGCGGTCAGCGGGATGAACGTGACGTCGAGGCAGAGACGCAGCACGGGATCGTGGCTCAGCATGTGCCAGCGCTTGCACACCCTGCGCAGCATGCCAAAATGCGGACGAAGCCTTTCCGCATGGTTTCCAGAGAGTTCCAACACCAAAAGGATGGTTTGCACATTTGGGCTCGAGTGTGACTGACTGCTCATGATGATATAAACCGATGGAGGGATACAGCCGACCCCTTTTAACCGGGTGGCGGATTGTGCCACCTCGCCGAAGCCTCTAACCTCGCCAAAGAACTAATCTCGTACGTCCAGGCCTCGCAGCCACGACGCTCTCCCCTTCCCCTTTTCCCCCCCGTTTTTCTGGCGCAATAAATGTTTCTTACCGCTAATACTACAAATCTCCGATTAAATTCAGAATGAATGGACGATGGTAAAGAGTCCCATATCGCTGCTAAGCATTCAATTAACATTCTCCGCAACCTAAAGTTACATTCTGTGTGACAGTGCTGCCTATTCGCACTGCGTATCAGAAAGAACAGAATAACAAAACTTTATTTTTCCCTCCACTCATGCCGCCAGTCGGACAAGCTGCACTTGGTGACCTCCGCTTTCCCCGTGTCCATTTTTTTCCGTTGCTGCCTTTAAAGTTGGAAGTCTTTACTAAATCAATGTTGCCTTGGGCAGCTGCAGGGTGAAGCCCTTTAGAGTAAAGTGTTTACTCGGCCATCTCCTTTTCCTCCCCAGATGTCCCACACGCCCTATCTATATCCCGATATAAAATTATACAAGCTGGCACACCGACGCCGCCTGTCGGGTAACCCCAGTACACTTCTTGTCTGCATTTAACTAGTTTCAAAGCTTGGGAGCATTTTTGACGTCGGATCAACGTACTGTCCGCGAAAAATGGCTTTCTTAAAACTGTCACATTTGTTTGGAGCCCACAGTGAAAGAACGACAGGTGAAAAAGAAGCAAATATATGCGGATCTGAAGTGCCTCGAAGCTACATGACAGATGACGCCAATGCAGCCTTGCATCATGAGCGATCAAAAGTATTTGCAACGCAGTTGGTCAAACTCAAACACAGAGTGCGAACCAACCTTGTGGAGTGGACTACAACAAAAATATACGAACTGGGCCTTACCAGCAACTATTGTACGGTAGCAATAAAGATTGAATGAAAACAATGTGTGACCAAAACGAAGATCACCTATGGATGAAGGTGATTGCTAGAACCGGTTGCAGGTCCGCTTGATCATATTTCCCCGTTGCAAACTGGTCTATGATGGCTTTCCTTCGAGCATACGGCTGTTTGTAGAGGTGAATTTAAAAAAGCTGAAGCACCTTTTAAAAAAACAAAATTCAGTTAAATGTGACCTGGTGTACAACTGTTTGTCCCCTGATTTTGGTTACCCCACTGAAATTGGAGAGAATTTAGCATAAACCACTTTTATATTAAGGGGGGGGGGGAGACGGGCAGTAATTAAGGCAGAGCATGCAACAAGCCTCTCTGCTGCCAGTTATCGGTCAAAGGCTATCGTCGACATCTCCGAGCAAGCTGAAAGGCAAGCAAGGATCACCAGACACCGTTGTGATGACATTACTTTTGCTAGTTTTCTTTTTTCCTCTTTTTCTTTCCTGCGCTTGGCAGACAGCAGGGAGTGCAGCTACAACGACATCTTAATTTGCAATCACGACGAATCCCACTAATTCTAGAGGAAAATTACCTTTTTCAGATAATTTGTAAGGTGCCCACATTCAAACTTGCAGCACCTCTTTTGAATCCACAAGCCACTTCTCCTGTATTTATTCATGCATCACTATAGGTATCTACCTCATATTCGTTCATTTTTTGTGTCTCTTTTCCGATGAGAGCTTTGCACATTGCCAGGTTGTTTTTGTTCTACTTCGTCATGAAAGTTTGCTCCTGCATTTTAAATCTTACATAATTGTTTTTGTAGTCATTTCAAATCACATCCTAAGTCCTGTTCTTGCGTTTCTTCCCTTTTCAACCTCGTTTTTATAAGCCCATTCCACTACACTTTTCAGGATAAAGAGGTAGCATCAGTAACTAAATTAGACAAACGAGGCTACAAAATGGAGACGCGCCTGTAAAAGTTCAAGATTGCAAGCTTGGGTCACTTGCAGAAATGAATGTCTGCATGGTTTCACAAGTGTTTCAATCATTGTTTGACTCTTGCCCTAAATTTGAGAAAGTGCATATTTGAGCGCACGATAACCGTTCAGCTCTGTTAAAAACCCTAATTTAATGTTGTTTTTTTCTTCTTTTTTTTTACGATTGCTTTTAAACAGAGATTACGGCCCTTTTTAAAACACCGAGTTTGGTGGAAAGCATGAAATGTATTTCGAAACTGGCAGGTGCCACTTCCGAAATGCATGAAAGGGGCCTTGCATGGACTTTTTTTACTGGTTTTTAATTTGCACCGAACCTGAGCGCACTAAACGTTGTAACTTAATGAAACTGTTCTTTTATCGAAATTCGCTTTATTTTTAAAGTTATAGGCAAATTAAAAATACAAAAACAAGCAAAAAATAACCTCCTTCATGACGTCTTTGGTTGTTTGAGTGGCCGTGAACTAGAGGAGGGGTAGTGAGCTCAGCGAGCACTCACGGCTGCCGCACTCCGTGTCCACGGCTCAAGAGGGCGCCACTAAAGCATGTTTTGTAGGCTGTATGAAGCAGGCAGCCAGGGCAATTGCGCAGCATTTCATTTGCTGCGCGATTAAGCACTCATTAGGCATGAAACTTCATTGGCCACAAACAACAGCAAACACGGGGTAAAGATCAGTTCAGAACGGGAGCCACTTCGCACTGCCATACCGCCAAAGGGCCAAAGCTGCTCGCCGAAGACCTTCGGAACGCTCAAAACCGGTCGGATCTTTGACTGCAGCGCCACCACATATACATCCGGGACCTTTCTATGCTAGCCGCCCGTCGGAGCCTGATCCCACTACACGTTTCTAGTATGCGCCGCCTTTTCCACCGCTTGGGTGGCAGGTGTATCGACAGGTCTTTTCTTGTTTCCGTACTATATAAACTGCATTTGTTTCTTTTCTGATCTAAATGCTGAACAAGAACTACTTTTATACATAATTGAAACGGCTCGCGCCACTTATATTTTGTATTTCGACTAAAAAGAACTTTTTAGCGGCTCTGACCAGTAGTAAGCCCAGGACCAAATACGACACATTTCGCGCGCTTTCGGCGATACGGGTCGCCTCCGTAGGTTAAAGGGCAACTCCGCTTCATTTTGGGTTTTGAAAAAACAATGCAGTCCTCTTCAGTATCGCCTAGGAAGACCACACGTGAAATCTTACGACGCAGTTCTGTCTAAATGTTTCTTGAACGGTCCGGCAAACTTTGCAACTCACCAAGTTGCCGAAATCGGCTGACTTGAGCGGGCGAATTCAGGCGCAACCAACAGCACAGTCAAGGCTACGGCATGGGCGGAGCCAACATTGAGCTAAACGCCATCTACATGGCCCCTTTTTGCTTGTTTTCACTTCTCCGGGCGAGCGTAGCGCATGACGTCAGCAACGTTTCCTCTCGGCGCTCAGCAGTGCCCACGTGATTGGCGTAACGCGCCTGCGCAGCGCGTTTCTTGGGAGCCATCCGCCCGCCCGCCTGCCGTGGTCTCGCCGTTACCGCCGTCTTCCGCGTCACAACCGCCGTCGTCGTGTCACCGATTGTGATTATTGTCTCTCGGAGTTTCGTCCACACTACGGACACCATGTGCGCGCACACTTATGCCGTAGTTGTGCAGACGTCGTCGAACGCCGTAGACACCAAAACGTGGCGAAGAGTGCGGTGCAGACGACACTCGCGCCTGCCACACGCCCGCCCCAATCCCGCCCGCCGTGGGGCCGAGGGTCACGTGGCATCTCGTACCACGTGATGGCCATGTACTTGGCGACCCGAGGCCAATGTTGCCGGGCAGAGCCGAAGTTTCGGTTTCGATTTCCGCTCGTGTTTAAAATCAGATTTAAAAATATATATCCCATTTTTCGCGAAGCAAACGACTTAGTGTGTTTTACTAGGGCTTTTTAATTCGAAATCAATCATTAACCCGAAATCTTCGGAATTGAGCGGAGTTGCCCTTTAAGGAGGTCTCCGCGTCGTCCGGTTAAAATATGACGCACTGATATTTAGTTACTCTCTCCGTGCCCGCTGGCTTGCCCGAACCCCAAGAAACGTGGAAACCGCAAAAAAAGGTGTAGATGCTTAAATATGATTGCAGGGCCCCTTTAAAGGGGTACTCCGGCGATTTCTTCATGGTCCCCGATTTGCTTGAAATTTTGCTAAACTCGCCAAACAACATCGCTAAAATAGTATCCCAAATATTAGGTCAAAATAATTTTTTTTTTTTTTTAACGAAGTTATTGAATTTACAGTTTTGGTCCCCACCGTGTTTTTCAAACTGAAAGTCTCTACTGGCAACAATGAAAAAGTGTTGTCAGTGGAAGGCAGGGGTTCACTTTTTGGACTGTAGAATTTGTTCCCAACTGATTGGAAGCAGTTTCATGGTATCAAATGAATGCTTTGGAAGCTCGCTCAAGTACCCGCGCTTCAGCACGGAACAATTTTGCCGATTTCACAATAACTATTATGAATTTCGCGATACTACATAGAGTACCGGAAAGGGTAAAGGCCGGGGAGTCAGAAAATATAGTTAGTTGACGGAGCTCAAAAAATCGCCGGAGTACCCCCGAACCGTCAATTTTCGGACAAGTATTAAAGGGATACTACAACGAAATTTCGGCGCTCATTTTTTGGTCTATATGTGTTCAAAAAAGCACCATCAAATCGAACATACCAATATCTTGTTAAAAAAGTCACGAAAAGGAATTTTAAAACGAATTAAACGATTAGCAAAGAGCACCTGGTGGATGTCGCTAACGCCTCGCTTGTAATGTCCGTCTAGCAACCTTGGCAGCTAGTGACGGAGGTTGTCTCGTCTCCGGCCACGACGAGAGAAGAGGGGCAGGAGGAACTCCCCTTTTCCCAAGAATGCCTTTTGTGTGTCGCAGAAGTCGCTATTGTCCCCCTACAAGATTATAGAAGATTAACCCGTCACTCAAAATTTGTACAAAAGCAGCCGCTTCGGTGGCTGGAACGACTAGGCCACCTCTCGACGTCAGCCTCGCCGTAGCTTTGCTCGTCTTGAGACGACCTACGTCACGATTGCGTTGGATGTCACGTGGTCTCCGCTGGGCCTTCTCCGAGCGCTTGCCAGAGTGGGCCGTTTATAACGAAAAATACAGCCACCAGGCTCAAAATACAAACGTGCGATTGTCATTTACGGATACTGTGGATCATATTCAACCTATTTTTGTACACAACGGGAATATTTCAAATTTCGTTGAAGTATCCCTTTAATTTCCCCGGTGTTTTTTTTTTTTTTTTTTTTTTTTTTTTTTTGAACGAAAAAGTTTAAAGCGGTAATTTTATGCGTGAACAACCAGCTATCCACTTTTTTGGAAGGTGTCATTTTGCACCCTCATTAACCACGCAAACACCACAAAAAAAAAAAAAAAAAAAAAAAGGTGGGGGGGGGGGGGGGGGGGATTTGTGGCCGCGCGCCAGCTGACTAAGCGGGTCAGCGCGATAAGGCAAAACCCTTTCCTCAGCAAACGCCCGCTCGAAAGTGAAACTAGGACGCTGACCGACGCGCTGTCTGGAATAGACGAAAGCTCGTTCGAGATAAGCCGTCAGCTAAAGTAGCTGTCATACCCAGCCGCAATGCCCAGATCTCGGACATTCAGGTGCTTGAAGATTTCCAACAGGATGCTGTCCGGAAGCCTGGTGATGAATCCGTCCGTCCCGTGAGCGGCTGGTTCGCTCATTTTATCGACAAAAATGCATTGTGATCGGTGAAAAACGTCGTTCAGGGAGGTACACGTCCGAAATAGTTCAACTGCCGCGGACATTTTCTTTTCGTTGGATTGGCTTGGCTTGACACATAAAACCTACAAACCTTTAAGGGGAAAAAAAAACAAAAAAAAATTTCAGGGCTTACATTATAAAATTTGAACGCTAAAGACGTCATATAAAAATAGTTTTGTATATAATGTGTTATAACCAGCTTGTTTATACACAATTTATTCTTTAAATTTTGATTACTTATTACCCAATTTATGTACGCATCGTCCAAGTCCAGTTTCGGTTTCGTTTGCGCTCGTTTTGCTCGCGTTGACAAGTGGGTGGACAACGAACGGCACCACTGCAAATTAATATCCAGCAAGACATTATTTTAAGCATGCTACTGGCTAAATTCTACGAGGCATCAAAGCAATCTTTATTGTTCGTACCAGACCAAAAAATATAATGGCTGGTCTTTTTTTTTTTTTTTTTTTTTTTGAGACTTCTTTACTTGTGACCGACATGTCTTTGTAAAAAGGTATCAACTTGTGCTAAATGGCGGTACGGAAGAAAAACAGTGTAAAAAGTACTCGGGACGAGTGGAGCAGACGAACAAAGAAAACGGAAGACACATAATTTTTAAGGTGCCTACATTACAACGTTTACTGATTGTTCGAATTGAAGGACCATATCTTCAGCTTCTTTTAAACAAGTGAGCCTAGACAATAGGCTCAGATCCGTCCAAAGCCATTTTGCTTCCCTTGGTATCTTTCTATAATTGATCTGCACAGAGCGACAATTCTCGGATGTCTCGTAAACCAGCTACAGTCTGGCAGTCCGCAAGATTAAAGTGGGCGGCTGCCGAGGGCGACTCGCTTATAACTAGGTTTTAACCGAGAAACACCGATAAACATCCGCCGGTGTCGAAAATGCAAAATCGGTTAAAACCGGAAAACACCGTTTTTTTTTTATATATATATATATTTTCGAGCAAGCGCTGTTTTTTTTTATTTTTATTTCTTTTTTTTGCAAAAAAGTTTTGTATACTTTCCAGTTTTAACTAAAAAACACCAATAAACATCCGCCGGTGACGGAAAGAAAAAATCGTTCAAAAAATGCTATATATCTAAATTCTAAATAAAAATCGTTAAAAAAAGACACCGATTTCTAAATACTTTTTCCCTAACAATTTTTTTTTTTTTTTTACTGAAAAGGTTTTACGCAAACTCCTGTCAAACACAT